TATCAGATCTGGTTTCCACAATGCTGTTCCCTAGGAGAGGAGAAGTGACTTTCACACACAAAGCACTGGGTTGAAGAAAAGGACCAGTGTGTGCTTGTGAGGATGTCCCTCGACCGTGCCTGGCCCTCACACTGCGCATTTGGGCTCTTCAATGGCTGTAGACCAGGGCATGGGGCCCTCACGTGGCTGAGCACATGGCAGGTCCCAAGGTGGCTTGCATTCAGGTGACCTCACCAAGAAGGCATCAAAAAGCAGTGGAGGGAAAATTAGATGGCAAGTCTGACGGGTCGGGAAGCAGTGTCCACTGAGCTGTGAAACTGTCCCCCTTTCAACCAGGCATTAGCCTGCGCTCATGGCTCTCCTTCAAACCACTCTGCTCTTGGGCTCCTTGCCAAGCTCCTCAGTCTTCTCGCCAAGCAGGAAGCAGGTCAGCAGGCTCTGGGTAGGAGCTGGGCTCCTGGCAGGCTGGCGCTGGCCAGGGCAGAGGCGTCCTTGCCCTGATACTGGGCAGTTGGTGCGTGACCCTAACTACCCTGCCTCTCAGTTAGAAGCTAGCTTGCTGGGTTTCTCCAGGAAGGTACTAGCAGCGGTGATGAATCTGCAGGGATCTATCCCACCCTTTGCATACACCCTGAGTCAAGCAATTGTTTTGCTTTTTATTCAGCCAGGGAGCATTTGTTGAGCTCCTACTTTATGTAGCACAGTAGGCTAGAAATGTAGAGACAAAAGACAAATCTCTCCATTGAGGATGGTGATGAGTGGGAGGCGCTATGGACTGAATGTTTGTGTCCCTTCCAAATGCATATGTTGATGCCTTAATCTTTAATGTGCTGATATTAGGAGGTGGAGCCTTTGGGAGGTAATTAGATTTAGATGTGCTCAGAGCCGCCTCTGATGGGATTAACACCCTTATAAAAAGAGAAAGAGACAGAAGAGCTCTCTCTGCACACACCAAGGAAAGTCCATGCATCTTAGTCATTTGCGTTGCTATAAAGGAATGCCTGAGGTTGGGTCATTTATAAAGAAAGGTGGTTTATGGGGCTTCATGGTTCTGCAGGCCGTACAGGAAGCATGGCCCCAGCATCTGCTTCTGGTGAGGGCCCCAGGAAGTTTCCACTCACGGTGGAAGGCAAAGGGGAGCAGGCATCACATGGTGAGAGAGGAATTGAGAGGAGGGAACCCAGGCTTTGTTTAACAACCGGTTCCCATCGGGACTAATACAGCAAGAACTCGCTAAGGAGAAGGGGAGGACGTACCAAGACATTCATGCGGGACCCGCCCCCATGACCAAACTCCTCCCACTAAGCCCCACCTTCAACACTGGGGATCAAATTTCTACATGAGATTGGATGTGGCCAAAAATACTATATCCAAACCACGGCACCATGTGAGGACCTAATCAGGCAGAGAGCCCTCACCAAGAACCCACCACATTGGCGTCTGGATCTTGGACTCTGAGATTTCCAGCCTCCAGAACTCTGAGAAATCCATGTTTGTGGTTTAAGTCCCAGGTCTGTGTGTTCTGTTACTGCAGCCTGAGCTGGCCAAGAAAGGAGAGGCCAGCTCCAGCCCCAGGGGGCCCATTCTTTGGGCGGGTGTCTTGGGGAGGGGTTGCTGTTCTTTCCCTGTCACTGATAAACTTCAACTTGAAAATCCCTTTCATTTGAGATGTTCCCCAGGGCCTGTGGATGATGCTGACCCCTCAGCCTCCTTTTGAGGGTGAGTATCCTGGGATGGGTGGAGTTGTCCTGGGCCTTGCACCCCACTAAGGATGTGCCAAAATTAAGGCTGTCGAGGCAGAAGTAATTCGATAAAGGTTCATTGGAAGCCAAGTGTGAGGATCCACCATGGAAGACACACCAACAAAGCTGGGTGTGTTCCAGAACCTGTCACAGGTTGGAAGCTTATCTAGAAAGTCTAGGAGAAGGGAGAGCTCCTCCTGTCAGAGGTATCTTTTTCCACTGATGGCCGCAACATACAGGTTACATTCATTGATGTATTCATTTATAGATGACAACATACAGGCTAACATTCCATGTGCAAGACGATCAGTAAAACGTTGTGATTCAGAAACAAATGCGTCATTTTTTTTTTTTTTTTTTTTTGGAGACACAGTCTCACTGTCACCTAAGCTGGAGCACAGTGTCATAATCATAGATCACTGTAACCTCAACCTCCTGGGCTCAAGCCATCCTCCTGCCCCAGCCTTCCTAGTACGGGGACTATAAGCGCACAGCACCATGCCCAGCTAATTTTAAAAATATTTGTTGTAGAGACAGGGTGAGAATGAGTGGGGAAAGCAGGGCCAGGGGTTGTGACAGGGAGGTCTCTCTATGTTGCCCAAGCTGGTCTTGAACTCTTGACCTCAAGCAATTCTTCTGACTCTGCCTCTGCCTCTGAGTGGCAGAATTACAGGCATGAGCTACTCCACCCCGCTACAGTGTCCTTTTCGATGTCAGTAGGTTATGTATTAATCAGTATGTCCACAGTTTGAGGAACTCACTGTGAGACTGGAGGACCTCAGAATAAGAACCTTTTCTCAGAGACAGGATGTAAGCCATGGATCACGAGACCTTCCCCCCGTGGTTAATCAGGAAGCCTGCCAAATGTAACCTGTAGGTTATCAGATGGGTGTCAAATCTGGGCAGTTGGTGCGTGACCCTAACTACCCTGCCTCTCAGGTGGAAGCTAGCTTGCTGGGTTCCTCCAGGAAGGTGCTAGCAGCAGTGATGAATCTGCAGGGATCTGTCCCACTCTGCATATACCGCGAGTCAAGCAATTGTTTTGCTTTTTATCAGATGAGACTAGCCACTGACCAATCACACATGGCAGTTGAAACTTACACTAAATAATAGAAAAAGTCCAGCGCCTCAGTCACATTAGCCACTTCAAGTGCTCAGTACCCACAGGCAGCTAGTGGCTGCCATCGGGCGCAGGGCAGGAGCTGGGACGCTTCTGCCGTCACTGTACGTTCTATGGGAGGTTTCACTGCCTAGGTGCTGGCAACAGACGGTGGTGCACTGTGGGCAAGCTATGGAGCGGAGGGCCTAAACCCACTGCGGTGAGGCTGGGGGTGATGAGCCCCATAGTGCAGGGAAAAGCTTCTCCAAGGAGCTGTACCTCTGCTGTTCCTCAGCCTGAGGCTCCTGCTCTCTCTGAGCAGACAGAGCCCAGCCCTGGACCTCCCTTGCGTGCTGCTGCTCCTCGGAACTGGGCCTCCTTCCTCGTCTTCCACATACCTCCCTGTCTCTTTTCATCCACTCCATGGCTTCCTTTGCCATCTTTTCCACAGATTTTCAGCTGAGGCTGCACTTGCACAGTCCAGGGGATCACAAACTGCATCAGAACCCCTGGAGGGCTTGGTAAACCTGACTCCTGGGCTTCACCAGCCGCTTCTCATCCGCAGATCTGGGTGCAGCCAGAGACGGTGCACCTCAACAAATCTCCCAGTGATGCTGATGTTGCTGGTCTAGAACCACACTTTGGACAACCGTTGGTGTGGTCTAGAGAATCACATTCATTGATTCAGGCATTCAACAAATATTTATTTAATGCTAACGTGTGCCAGGCACTCTTCCAGTGCTGGGATAAGCTGCGAACCACCCAGAAAAGCCCCATCCTATATTCTAGGACAGCAAACAAATTTTCTCAGTTGGGTGGTGACGACTGTTAGGAGGAAGAATAAGCTAGGGGAAGGGGAGGGGGCTATCGTACAAGGTCATGAGGAAAGTCCTCACTGACATGGTGACATCTGAGCAGAGACCTGCGAGGGGACTTGGGGGAGAAGGAGACCCTGGCCTTTCTGATTCTGCTTTGTTCTATCCTCAGCTTTTTAATGTGGAACATGAGAGTCATGTTAAAAATCAAGGTCACAATCTGGATGGGCGTGATGGCTCACACCTGTAATCCCAGCACTTTGGGAGGCCAAGGTGGGAGGATCACTTGAGGCCAGGAGTTCGAGACCACCCTGGGCACCATCTCTACTAAAAAATGCAAAAGGCCGGGCACGGTGGTACACACATGTAAGCCCAGCATTTTGGGAGGCCGAGGCGAGCAGATAATAAGGTCAAGAAGTCAACACCATCCTGGCCAACATGGTGAAATTCTGTCTCTACTAGAAAAAAAAAATACAAAAATTAGCTGGGCATGATGGTGCATACCTGTAGTCCCAGCTACTCAGGAGGCTGATGTGGGAGAATCACTTCAGCCTGAGAGGTCGAGGGTGCAGTGAGTCATGATTGAGCCACTGCACTCTAACCTGGGCAACCCTGTCTCAAAAAAAAAAAAAACAACATCACAGTCTACTCAATAGCTAGGTTTTAAAGGCAAAATCAATTGTCTGTTCCGTGGTTAATTACAAAGAAGCCTGGTGCCAAAAGCCGTAGATTTGAGCTCAGCTTGCAGTTTCACCCTCGGGCCCCAGCAACTGATCCTCATTTTTCAGAAGACCCTGCTGGCCACGCCTCTCTCTTCAAGGGTACGAATCCCCAGGGCTAGGAGCCTGTGGGCCCCTTCTAGAGGATGCCTTAGGATTCCCAGTCCCTACACCTAGTCAACCTCCAGGACCCACAGGCCCCTTCCTGTCCATGCTTCAGGGCAGACCATTCCCCAAGGTGTGCACCCCATGCCAGGAGATGACTATGTGGGGATGGGGTGGGGACTGGAATGTCCATACAAGCGTGTACTGATGATGGATAGAGGGGGCCAGGCCAAGTCAATGGCTCTGTTTATCTTCTTGTCTTGGACTCTTAGCCAGTTAGTTGAGTGCTCCTTACCTCTATCCAGCTTTGGCAATGAGAAAGGAGAATGTAGACCAATCAACCAAATAAACAAATGTTGTAGGGATCACGGGTCAGTGGTGGTCCCTTCATCAATGAGAACAGCAGGCTCGTGGGATCGGTCCTATCCCCTCTTATAAGCATAAGCTTTCACATCGAAGTACAAACTTTGTGTGCCTTTCACACCTAATTGTTCTTTTCAACATGTGGTATCTTTTTCAGGCACAACTATCTCAGGCCTTAAACGGAGTTTCAGATAAGGCAAAGGAAGCAAAGGAGTTTCTGGTTCAGCTGAAGAACATACTGCAGCAGGTCCAGGTGAGCACAGCTCCGGCATTGGGAGAGATACACAATGTGGAAAGTTGGCATGTTGTGCATCGTATTAAGAAGAAAGGAAAAGTCTTGCAATGGGCATTTTCTCAGTGATGGACCTTAGAAGATTAACATGCCCTGCCCTATAGCCTTGGGTGCTGAAAGTATCACATACTCAACTCATTGGCACACACGCAATACCTGATACAGGAGCCAGTTAGAGAGAGCCGGAAAGATGTGATCTAGCACTCTACATGCCATGTCATCCTATGTGGCATCTGTACATGGCGATTTTGTGGCCAAATATGCGCATGTCATCAATGCATCAAAATATCAATGAGTCATTTACTAAACAAATGTATTTACTGAACTCTTATGCTATGTCATGTACTGAGCACATCACAAGATACAAAGATCAATGAGGCACCATTTCTGACCTCAGGCTCTGTCTATAGGGGAGAGGGTGCACACACAGGTGCTCCTGTGTGAATGTGCACACATAGAGGAACTGCTCATAAGATGAGAAACCCATAAAGCATTCACATATCTGGAGGAAGAGAAGGGACTGAGGGTCCTTGGATTCTCTCTTTTTTTTGAGACGGAGTCTCGCTCTGTCACCCAGGCTGGAGTGTAGTGGCACGATCTCGGCTCACCACAACCTCCACCCTCCGTCTCCTGAGTTCAAGTGATTCCTGTGCCTCAGCCTCTTGAGTAGCTGGGGCTACAGGCACACACCAGCATGCCCAACTAATGTTTTGTATTTTTGAGTAGAGACGGGCTTTCACCATTTTGGCCAGGCTGGTCTTGAACTGCTGACCTCGTGATCCACCCACCTCACCTCCCAAAGTGCTGGGATTACAGGTTTGAGCCACTGTGCCCAGCCCCTTGAATTCTTAAAAACCACCTTTCCTAACAAGTTCAGTACAGACTTCAGCCACAGGGCATTTTAAGTCGTAATGTTTCCCATGTTTCACAGACAGGAGATGTATTAGCCTGCTAGGGCTGCCATTGCAAGATGCCAGAGATCGAGTGCCTTACGCAGCAGAAATCTATTTTCTCATAGCTCTAGAGGCTAGAAGTCTGAGATAAAGCATCAGCAGGGTTGGTTTCTCTTGAGGCCTCTCGCCTTGGCCTGTGGATGGCCGTCTTCTCCCTGCGACCTCACATGGTCTGACCTCTGTGTGTCTGTGTCCTCATCTCTTCTTGTAAGGACACCAGTTACAGTGGACTAGGGTCCACCCATACAACCTCATTTTATGTAATGACCTCTTTAAGGGCCTTATCTCCAAATACAGTCACATTCAGAGGCACTGGGGAGGGTTAGGGCTTCAATGTACGAACGTGGGAAGACAAAATTCAGCTCATAACATGAGGTCTGGATACACACTGAGACCCAGAAGGACTTTTTTTTAAAAAAACAGTGTTGGATGCCAGCCCCAACCCTGTACGTGGGTGCCCTTAGTCCCAGTGGTGACAAGAGATTGAGAAAAGAAATAAAGACAAAGACAAGAGTAGGGTCCCACAGCATGGGTCCAGGGGACCAAAGCAAGAAGCACTGCTCTAGGCTACACACGCTTTTATTGGTGCATTATCTTGTTAATATTGTGGGCTGTGGTGAGGGGAGGTGAGAAGGGTAAACTAAAGCTATCCTGGGGTAAGATCAAATGGAGCGAGAGTGTGAGACTACAGCATTCAGTAGCAAATGTGGTTCTTCTAAAAAATGCTAACTTAGGACACCAAATTTTGCCATAATTGTTATCAAGGTGCATCTGCATAGGAGCACAGCAGATAAGGTGCCCCCAGGTCTGACCACACACAATGCATCAAGGGGCTTTTATCGCCGGGGCATTGCTGACGCAGAGCAATCAGAGTTAGTCCATATTCTGAGAACCAAGGCAGAGCCTGTGGCATTCCGGTAATCTCTGCCCTGCAAGACTTTCCTGTCCCGCAAGCTCCCATCTGCAAAGACCCTCCCGAGTCTTGTAAGCAGAGGTCACATTCCTTCCCAAAGTTATTGCACAAGCCCTCCTTCCCTCTTTACGAGACCCTCACACAGACCCTATGTTGGGAAGAGATCCTGGGACCAAAGCAGCTTTCCTGCGTGGCTACCACACCGCTGCGTTCCGCGGTTTTAAAGCGCTCTCAGGTGGTCTGCAGGCCTCCTGTTACTGCTTGATTTCTGCTTTTACAGGCCTTAAACAATTTTTATTTACTGCACCATTGTTTGGAGTTTTCTTAACATTTGATCTGTGGCACGAATCTCAGTGTATAAAAAGCAAAGCAAGCTTGTAATCATTTAACTAGAAATAACGCAGGTCTGCCCCTGGCCATCTTGGCCCACAGCTGAGAAAGACAGACTTGACTGCAAGAGCACTATTTGTTGGTTTGTCTTACTTTGTTCCAATTATGAAAAGCACAAGTACATGTTACAGAAACTTTGGAAGGAACTAAGAAAAAGTTCACCAGTATCTCCCCATCTGAGGTGACCACTCTCACTGCTTTGATATGTATTGTTCTATTGCTTTAAACATACACACACACACACACACACACACACACACACAGTGTATGTGATTATGCTGTGAACAACGCGTATCTTGCTTTCTTTCCTTCCTAATAGTCTGTCATGAGCATTTTCCCATGGCATTAAAAATGCCCTGTGAACAAGATGTGAATGACTACAGAAGATTCTGCCATACGGACGTGTTGAGATTCATAGTACCTGCTTTAATTCACTTCACATAAATATTGCCTCTAATTTACCAACATTATAGAGAACTCTAGGATGAACTACTCTGAAATATATCTTTTTGTCTATAGCACTCACCAGATTTTAGTGTCTTCTCCCCTCTAACTCTCTGCTTCCCCCTACTCACCCCGCCGACCCCTGCTAGGAAAACGGACTGGACTACGAAGCCTGCCTGGTTGCTCAGTGTGACGCCCTTGTGGATGCTTTAACTCGTCAGAAAGCCAAGCTGCTCACCAAGGTGACTAAAGAGAGGGAGCACAAGCTGAAGGTAGGTACCTGGGGGACTGACACATCGAATCCCCATCCCATCCTCTGCACCCAGTGTGGGGTGGAGCACACAGTAGGCACTGGGTAAATATCAGCTAAGTGAGTGAGTGAATGAATGAACGAATGAATGAGGCAAGGAAGAGATGCATCAGCTGATTCAGTTACATTCCTGTGACCTGACAGAGACCAATCTATACCAAGATACACAGAGGCCCTGTGTATCTTGTGGGTTTCAAGTCAGAAGCCCACCCTCTCCCTCCCTGTTTCTGTCTAAAGGACTATTCTTGTTCCCATTTTGCAGAGCAGAAGTGACTAGCCCTGACCCTGTTCAGGTCTCCGGCTCTGTCTCCTTCTTCAGGTTCTCTCTGATATCTCACCTACTCAATAGTCAGCAATAACATACACAGCCAGTTCCCACCAAGGGAAGATGGGGCTCTCCCCCTCACATCACGCTGAGTCCCCAACTCAGCCAGGTACCCATGAACTCTCTGAGTTGATGATGGGCTGTCACTGTCCAAGGAGCTCATCTATGCTAGAGATGTTTCCTAACTGGACCACAAAATATTACAGTCAAGAAAAGGAGGAATGCATGCTGGGGATGATCCTACGGTTAACAAGTGAAGCGGCGTTATCCAGGGACACTGAGAGGTCGGAAGCCAGTCAAGAAGCTGGTCACTGATCGTATGGAGAGTTTCAGATTATGCTTTCTCTGCATGACTGTTACGAGTTTGGAAAGGTTTCTATGTTGGGTGTTGTAGCCCTGCTTGTTGGGAAGTGAGTCCACTTATTTCCCAGCAAAGAGGACACACGGAGCTCAGCAGCAGAGCTGAGAGAGGAGCGGGTGCGAGGCGGTCCAGGCAGCACCGCCTCTTCCAGGCTGTATTGGCGCTAGTTGTCTGACTCCTGCCGTGGCCTGCCTGCTCTTCCGCTCATGAGATGGTTACTTAAAGGAGTCTTTCTGTTGCAGATGGTTTGGGACCAGATCAATCACTGCACATTGAAGCTGCGCCAGTCCACCGGACTGATGGAGTACTGCCTGGAGGTGATCAAGGAGAACGACCCCTCTGGGTTCTTACAGGTGAGCCCGCGCCTGGAAGACACCAGGTGGGCTTCCTCCAACTGCCCCGCCATTCCCCAAATCAGCCCAAGTTCTAGGCAAGACTCTTCCATGGCTCAGAGTTGAGTAGATTCTCCTTTGCTCAGTGATTCCTGAAGACCTAGGCTCTCTCTCACCCTGGCTCTGACTCTCACTAGATGTGACCTAATTTTGCAGCATGCATGAAATGAGGAGGTGAAATGACATCATCTCTAGGGCTGCAATGCCTCACTGCAACATTGTCCGCACAAATGGGAAAGGACAATCTTGCCAAACAAGCTGGACAGATTGCATCAGGAGAAAAGTTAGCAGAATCCACATAGCCATTATCTCAATGTGCCGAGTGCTGCAGGCCTGGCCGGTGACCAGCTGCCTTCAGAGACAGTGCAATCTTCTCAGGGCCATCTCTCCTGCATTCAGGCTGACTCAGGGTCATGAGTATCTCTCAGGAAAATAGCAGTGATTCAGCCTCTGTCTATGAGGAAAATAATGAATCCCTTTGATTATTTTCCAAGAAAGGTACACGAGATCCTGGCTGGACAAGCGCATGTGCTAAGGTCTGATAAGCAGGACCTTCCAGCAAAGGAGAGCAGGACGGTGGGTGCGATACAGTCAAGTTTGGAGCAGAAGTTGCAAAACAGCTCAGAGGAGACACAGGCAGGGGCAGATGTGGGCTTCAAAACTTTAGGGGTATGAAATACGGTTTCTTTCGACACGGGGCAAGTTACTAGTATGTTTTACTCCGCAAAGTACTAGATCTAGGAAACAGATCTAATGAAGGATGCATTTGCATATTTTAAATGCATCTTGTATTTCTCAGTAGTGTTCGCTACAATCTCTTTAAGTAGCAAGCGCTTCTTTTCATTTCAAGTGATTATGAAATATGATTAAAACAACATTTCAATGCATGTTTATGCAGCCTGTGCTGGATAGGCAGGGGTCATTTAATCTCTGCCATGGCTTCAGAACACAGTCCTTTTCTGTCTCTGAGCCCCATAGAGGCAAAACCCCTACCTCTTCCTCACCACTGCCTCCACAATGTTTCCTCTGCAAAGCAAAACCTTAAACTCTTTGCTCCCCTTTAAGATCTCAGATGCTCTGATCAAGCGTGTCCAGGTGTCTCAGGAACAGTGGGTCAAAGGCGCCCTGGAGCCGAAAGTGTCTGCGGAGTTTGATCTGACCTTGGACAGCGAGCCGCTACTGCAGGCCATCCACCAGCTGGACTTCATTCAGATGAAATGTAGGGGTGAGCCGTGGTTGGCCCCAGTTCAGTCAGTGCTTCTTTCAAAAGAGGCATGCAGTCTGAGGGGGCAGCTGGGTGCTGTAGGGAGACCTGTGACACACGGAGTGTGGCAGGGTGGGACAGAGTCACGGACTTAGGTTCCAATCCCAGCTCAGCCCCTGGCAGCCGTGTGCGCTGGGGTGAGAAGTGCCCAGCTGGAACCAGAGACTTCCCATTTGTGAAACGACAATCATTTATTCATTCAGAAGTGCTCGGGGAGTGTCTCCCGTGTGCCAGGCACTCTTCCACGTGCTCAGGATGCAGTGGTGAACAAGTCTACCAGCTCACGAGATTGGGCTTACACTCTAGAGGAGGAAATAGACACTAAACAAATGTATAATAGAATGTTCTATGGTGGCAGGTGCTATGAAGAGGAATCAGAGGAAGGGGCAGCTGTACATGCCACGGGGTGAGATCTAACGTGAGGAGAAGGAAGTGGTGGCAGAGGAGGAGGAGGTGAAAGGGGTAGTGGTAAATGAGGAGGGGAAGCAGGAGGAAGAGGTAGTGGAAGAGGAAGAGGAAGAGGGAGTAGAGAAGGAGGAAGTGGAGGACGAGGAGGATGTGGAGAAGGAGGCAGTGGCAGAAGAGGAGGGGTGGAGGAGGAGGAGGAGGAAGAGGGAGTGGAGGAGGAGGAGGAAGAGGGAGTGGAGGAGGAGGTGGAGGAGGAGGAGGAGGTGGAGGAGGAGGAGGAAGAGAGAGTGGAGAAGGAGGAAGAGGGAGTGGAGGAGGAGGAAGAGGGAGTGGAGGAGGAGGTGGAGGAGGAGGAGGAGGTGGAGGACGAGGAGGAGGTGGAGGACGAGGAGGAAGAGGGAGTGGAGGAGGAGGTGGAGGAGGAAGAGGAAGAGGAGAAGGAGAAGGAGGAGGAGGAGGAGGAGGAGGAAGAGGGAGTGGAGTGCTGCCCCTCTACAGATGCCAGGGAGGGGAAATAAAGCTCTTTGGTTTGTGTGAACTGAGGGCCACACTTGCAGAATCTGTGGGCTCAGGGGGTCCTTACATGCAGAATCTGTGGCCATTTTTAAACTAAAGAAAGGGAAGTCTCTCGCACATTGCCATGCTCACTCCCACACAGCTTGCTCCTCCAGTAAGGTCTGGAAAGCCCACCTGCCCCAGGTGTATATGACACGCAGTACCGAGAAGCAGGATAAGCCTGGCAGAGTGGAGGAGCTGCAGCGGAAGAGTGAGGTCACTTGGAAAGTGGGTGCAGGGGGTAGATTAGGGCCTCTCCAGATACTGCTTCCAGCTGGATGGGGTCAAGGGACTGGTCAGGGGTAACTGGACTGGATATGGTCACTGGCTGGTCAGGGTTCAGAGAGGAAGTGGGAGAGCACAGTAGCGGGACCCAGGGGTTGGAGGGAGGACTCCTGCCATCTTGTTAACTGAAGACTGGGAGTCAGGCTCTTCTCAGCTAGTCCCATGCCCGAATCCTTGGAACCAAATTGAAATATCTACTTTTAAGAAAACCAGTGTTTCAATTTTCTCTTAAAAAAAAAGCAGGAAGTCAGAGTGGACTGTATCAATTTCTAAAATCTCCTGAGCCTGAATCGAACTAGAAAATGTTTAACTTCTCCCACTCTCACCTCAGCAGGACTTCTGATACAACCGATCCAAATCCTTAGTTCTTTAGGTTGGCCGCCCCATACTCAAGAATTGCTTCTGTTGTCTGGGTCTCATCCCCTGACCTTTTCAATGCTTCCAGCCGAAGGTTTGAAGGCATCTCCCCTCACTGTCCCAGCTCCAGGTGTGAGCTGCAGGCTGGCTGTCACTTAGCTGTAGGCCCTGCATTGAGGACCCCAAAGGGCTTGTGCCATTCGCAGGAAGCCTGGACTCTGTTGGAACTGTCCATGCGTTCCTCATGGTGTGAGTTAAAGCCAGCGGTTCTCAGTGGGCAGATCGGAAAGAGAACATCCTTCCTTAGGGCCATAGGCTCAGAAGGCTGGGGTCATCTCCCAGGGCTCCTGAGATTCCAGGAAGGAAACCCCCTTGGGTTGAGACATGCAAGGTCACCTGTGCTTGGCTTCATCTCCAGCCCATCTGGAGACTGACTCCGGGGAATCTGGGAGTGACTGCAGGGTAGCGAGGGAGGGAATTGAGCCTGGCTATCTTTGGGGGCCAGGAGCCCTGGGATGGGGTGGGTTGGGGGGACCAGGCCGGGGCCCTCAGAGGGTGTTGTGCACTAACTCATGCGTGTCCCTCTCTCAGTACCACCCGTCCCCCTACTGCAGCTGGAGAAATGCTGCACCCGCAACAACAGCGTCACGCTGGCCTGGAGGATGCCACCCTTCACCCACAGCCCTGTAGACGGCTACATCCTGGAGCTGGACGACGGCGCGGGGGGTCAGTTCCGGGTGAGGCCTTGCTGCTTGTTTGGTGGGGGCTTGGGGGTACCAGTGCAGAGGCAGGAGTGGCTCCCACTGTCCCAAACTCTGGTCCAGCCCACAGGGACATCATGTTGCTATCCCGAGGGGACATTGGCACTAAGGATAAAGAGGGCTGGCCGGCCTGGGCTCACAGAGATGGGACTTCCCTCCCAAGGGCTAGGTCTGGGAGGACTGTCACAGGTGGGGGGCTGGGAGAGCTCAGAGAAGGCGTTCTCTGCATCCACCTCCTTCCCCATTTACCGCCAGCCCCTCACACAGCAACACATTCCCTCAACATGTTTTATCATACCTTGTCTTGTCTGGTCCTCTAATTATTTCACCTGGCTCTGTCTTGTCTTGGGAGGTATCATGTCTGGAGCCAAGGAAGCACTGTCTGGCCCTCATATACCTGGCAAGGTGCCGGGCGTATAGAGGATGTTTGATAAATGGCTGTTGAATAGGGATGGCATTCTCCAGTCACATCCCTGATGATGGACTGTCACGGGGGCAATAAAGGTTCTTAGTGAGCCAGAAATGCATCTTCTACTCCCCATCTGCTAGAAATTCTGGAGCAGGACTCCAGCCCAATCCAGACCCCTAACAGAACACCACCTCCAGATTTCACTCAGTGAAGTTCAGGCAGATGTGAATGCCAGGGAGCACCAACTCTAGGTCTTCTGAGATCACCTGCTTCCTAGCCCAAAGAAGATGAAATAAACACGCACTCTAACAAACCACTGCAATCACAGCAACCCCTGCATTTCTTCTCCTGGGAAGTTGCACTTATTTAACAAATCTTGCCGAAAGTAAACATTCCCTTAGTTTCTCTCAAAGAAATTTATGTATGTGTCATTTCACTATCTGCTTGAAAAATACGGGAATGTAAGAATTCAGGAAATAATGACAACACTTCCCTGGGAATTGCTGAGTCCCATGTGAATATGGGCCATTTAGGGAGGTAAGATGAGGTTGTTCAAGCCAGATCACTGGGTGCAGACCTCCGTCACTCCCATTATGCAGATGAGCCAAGAACTGAAGGAGCTCCTCCACCAGAAACCCCAGAAACCGATAGGAGAGCTAGCATTTTTGAAACGGGAAGAAAGAAAAGACTGAAAATATAAAAGCAGCAGCCACTGAGCTCAAAAATGGTCCCTCCTCTTTGAGACATGGCCGCTAACAAAAGCTAGACCCAAGGGCTAGGGTTTATGAGGAAGAGGGTCTTTTTATTTTTATTTAATTATTTATTTATTTTGGAGACAGAGTCTTGCTCTGTCGCCCAGGCTGGAGTACAGTGGTGTGATCGTGGCTCACTGCAACCTCCACCTCCCGGATTCAAGAGATTCTCCTGCCTCAGCCTCCTAAGTAGCTGGGATTACAGGCATATGCCACCATGCCTGGTTAATTGTTTTTCTTTTCTTTTCTTTTTTTTTTTTTTTTTTTGGCATTTCTGGTAGAGATGGGGTTTCATCATGTTGGCCAGGCTGATTTTGAACTCCTGACCTCATGACCTGCCCACCTCGGCTTCCCAAAGTGCTGGGATTACAGGTGTGAGCCACCCCACCTGGCCATGACTGAATGTAATTTTCCTTTTTCATAACTTTTATTTGGGCAAGATTTTTTTTTTTTTTTAATTTTTGGCTGGGCACAGTGGCTCATGCCTATAATCCCAGCACTTTGGGAGGCTGAGGCGGGAGGATCACCTGAGGTCAGGAGTTTGAGACCAGCCTAGCCAACATAAAATGAAACCCCATCTCTACTAAAAAAAATACAAATATTAGCCAGGCGTGGTGGCACACACTTGTAGTCCCAGCTTGGGAAGCTGAGGCAGGAGAATCGCTTGAACCTGGGAGGTGGAGGTTGCAATGAGCCGAGATCACACCTCTGCACTCCAGCCTGGGCAACAGAGCAATACTCTGCCCCTCAAAAAAATAAAATAAAAGTAAAAATTGTTTAGAAATGGGGTCCTGTTATGTCGCCCAGGCTGGACTCCAGCAATCCTCTCACCTCATCCTCCTGAATAGCTGGGATTACAGGCCACCACAGCTGGCAGCAGCACTTTTAATGTCAATGTGTTTCCAGAAGCCATTTGATAAGAGGAATTTTGCAGATGGTAGAGGAGCCTGGTGAGCAGTATTGCTCTCTTTCAGGAAGTGTACGTTGGTAAGGAGACTTTGTGTACCATCGATGGTCTTCACTTCAACAGCACCTACAACGCCCGAGTGAAAGCTTTCAACTCCTCTGGTGTCGGGCCTTACAGTAAAACCGTCGTCCTGCAGACATCCGACGGTGAGCACGGAGTCTCTTAGTGGGAAGAACGGAGTCATCATTTATCGAAAGACAACCAGACAGCCACGTGTAGCAGCTATGATGACGGCGTGGGGGTGGGGTGTGGTGCTGGGCACAGTTGGGTTCTCCAAGGGCATGCCCTTCTGGGACCGTAAGTGGCCTCCCAGAAGAGGAAGATCGTCTCCTAGGGCCAACCCACATTTCATCCCGTGGACAAAGGTAGGGGTGGGGAAGGATCCGCTGCTGAAGATGGGGCAGGGGCCAGAGGGTCCGGATGCCTGACCCTGCTCAGCACACACAGCACCTGGATGTACCCACGTGCCTATAAGCCACTAAAGAAACATTCCTTCACCCCATTGGGCTGGACTAACTATGGAGTAGCTGAGGGAGGCTAAACTCCCCGACTTTTCAAGGGCCAAGGAGTGAGTAGGACAGTCTCAGACAAGAAAACCCCAGGATAGATGCAACACCAGCCCCTGCATCTGAGCCTTTCTCACAGCAGAAAAGTGCCCTTTAATCCCCAGTGGTGTATACACCTACCTACAGCCTTTTAGGTCTTGGGCAACAACAGCATGTTGATATTGATTCAGTGGAATTTCAGTCATCTGAGTTCTTAGCAGGAAGCGATGAGGGAAACAGAAAGCACATTCTGAAGAGAGTCCTGCTCCTCTGGGTGTGGCTCAGCCCAGGCTGCAGAGGCAGCTTCCAGCTCCCCACTGCCTCGAAAGCAAGTCCCGCCTTCGTTGTTATCATTTAGTCCACACGTTCTCTGCTGCCACAGCTGGATGGTCTCCCAGAGGCAGGGAGGAGAAGGAGCAGGAGCAGATGCTGGAGTCAAAGGGTACAGCCAGGGACACTTTTCTAAAAATGGTGCAACCTGCGGAGTCACTCTGTACCTAGAGGAGAGTGCGCTGGCTTCTGCCTCGAGACTCTCCTCCCTAGAGATGAGCGGTCCTTGCCCTGTGTATCGTGGTCATCATTTTAGAGTAAGCACCTCACTTCCGACAACCTGGGGGTGGTGCTGAGGGGTTGGGGAGCAACAGGAGGCACCACCTGGTGGGCTGCAGAATGAAGAATTGAGCTTTGGGACTTTGGCCACATCGCCTCACCTCTCTGTGTCTCAAATCTCCCACCCACGAGGTGGCCCATTAATATCTATTTCCTCCTGTACTTTATTTTTTCTTTTTGTTTTTGAGATGGAGTCCTGCTCTGTCGCCCAGGCTGGAGAGCAATGGCATGATCTCAGCTCACTGCAACCTCCACCTCCCAGTTCAAGCAATTTCCCTGCCTCAGCCTCCTGAGTAGCTGGGATTACAGGTGTGTGCCACCACACCCAGCTAATTTTTGTATGTTTAGTAGAGATGGGGTTTTACCATGTTGGCCAGGCTGGTCTCAAACTCCTGACCTCAGGTGAGTTACCTACGTTGGCCTCCCAAAGAGCTGGGATTACAGGCTTGAGCCACCGTGCCTGGCCTATCTCTCCTGTACTTCTAACTGTGTCTGAGTGTTTGGAAGGGTTTTAGAAACCAAGACCAGAAAATGCATCTAGATTTGGGGCTTTTAGGTCTGAAAATCCCTGGCAAGGCTGGGCTCATAGGACTGGCAACTTAGATGAACACAGAGCAGGGAGTGTGTGAGCATGTGCATGTGCGTGTACATGTGTGTACATGTGTGTGTGCATGTGTGTGTATGCTCACATATATGAGCTAATCATACAAGAAAGACCCTTCACTGCTGGGTGCTCACTTTGTAACAGAAGTGAGTGTGTTTGTGTCTCTGATCCGGTTAGAAATTACTAGCAAATTCCACCCCCTGACCCTGCTCCTCTTGCCTCTTTCTTTTTCAGTGGCCTGGTTCACATTTGACCCCAACTCTGGGCACCGGGACATCATTTTATCCAATGACAACCAGACAGCCACCTGCAGCAGCTATGATGACCGGGTGGTACTCGGCACGGCTGCGTTCTCCAAGGGCGTACACTACTGGGAGCTGCACGTGGACCGGTACGACAACCACCCAGACCCCGCCTTCGGGGTGGCCAGGGCCAGCGTGGTCAAGGACATGATGCTGGGCAAGGACGACAAGGCCTGGGCCATGTACGTGGACAACAACCGCAGCTGGTTCATGCACTGCAACTCCCACACCAACAGGTGCGCTGGGCCCCATCCTGCCTTCCGCCGACACGGGCTATTTGGGAATGAGGGTCCTGGAGACCAGTGTCCCTTCTGCTGTCCCCAAAGCCAGCAGGAATTGGGAGGAGGTATTTTCAGCCACTTGGGCCTCCAAGTGGCTCACGTCACGGGGCCAGTTGATACTGTCTAGGTTGAACCCAAGGCCCCAGCCTGGCCTGTGTGGTGCAGACTCCCCAGCTGTCCCGGCCATTGGCCACCACACCCCTCCCAAGAGCTGCTGAGCCCTTCTCGGGCCTCTGCTGTCCTTGACGGCTCATTGGTGTCCCCTCAGTAAGAAAAGCAGAAGAGAAGTGGGGCCAGGAGAAGGTACAGAGATGTCTGCATGTCCTCCCACGCCTTGGAATGTGGGTCGGGGAGGAAGCCAAGGCATCCGAGAAGCTGGACCCCAGAGGGGACTGGGCCAGAGGCTTTGCTTAGGGCGGACCCATTCCCGAACCTCCCATGGGTCACTACCACCACCCGGTGGTCAGTGTCCAAATAGCACCAGCAGCGTGGTTCTAGTTCCTGTCTCCCACCTGCCGGGTGCCTGCCCTGGGCACCCTTGGGGAAAAGCCCTCTCTCGGAAACACCTTCTGGGCCACCCACCAAGTCCTCCTCGGGACATCCTGTCATGAATTCTTCTCGCTGCTCACCTTCCCTCTGCCCTATCAGCAGCGTCCAGTTGATCAACTCATTCCCAATCTGGAAGGACAAACATGGTTTTCTTAGCAGAGTGGAGCTGCTAAGGCTAAGCCCTCAGCCCTGAGAGGGCGGGGTGGCTCAAGCCTGTGTCTCAGCTACTCAGGAGGCTGAGGTAGAGGGATTCCTTGAGCCCAGGAGTCCTGGGCAACATAGTGAGATCCTCATCTCTATAAAATATTTAACAATTAGCTGGGCATGGTGTGTGCCTCTAGTCCCAGCTACTGGGGAGGCTGAGGTGGGAGGATCCGTTGAGCCCAGGAGTTCCAGGCAACAGTGAGCTAGGATTGCACCACTGCACTCCAGCCTGGGCCACAGGGAGAAACCTCTACTCAAAAACAAAACAAACAAACAAACAAAAAAAAACAAGCTGTGCGTGATGGCTCACACCTGTAATCTCAGCACTTAGGGAGGCCAAGGTGAGTGGATCACCTGAGGAGTTTGAGGCCAGCCTGGCCAACATGGTGAAACCCGGTCTCTACTGAAAATACGAAAATTAGCCGAGTGTGGTGGTGCGCACCTGTTATCCCAGCTACTCGGGAGGCTGAGGCAGGAGAATTTCTTGAACCTGGGAGGCGGAGGTTGCAGTGAGCTGAGATCGTGCTACTGCACTCCAACCTGGTTGATAGAGTGAGACGTCGTCTCAAAAAACAAACAAACAAACAAACAAAAAACAAAACAAAAAAACACCTCAGAGAAGGAGAGTCTGCAGGATTCAGACCATGTGAGAAGACCTGGTCAGCCAAGCCCCCCTTGGGAGCATGTTCCTTACTTTTATTAATAGATGCCCTTCTACCAAGTGGATGTGAATTCTTGCCACCTATGAAGTACAACATCCCCAACACTGCTCAAGAGCACAGTGGACATTCTCAAGGTTCCCCTGGTAGTCACCTGTGGGATGGTGTCTCCGACATAGGACTTGATTTCCACTTCAGCACCCTTTCCCCACCATACGCCACTTTTCAAGGGACCCTGGGATGTTTCTGGGAAGATGAGCTAATGTAGGGTAGGGACCTTCAAAAATTTCCTGAAGGCCTGGATGTCCACATCTTCATCGACCTCAGCATCCTCACTTGGCTAGAGCGGGAAAGGGCACCAAGTTAGTTATTTTCTTTGGCAGGAAAGGTGCCTTTCTTACCCATTCTCCATGCCGCACAGCTTCAAATGGGACTTGCTCAACAAAACCTGAATTTTCTAGTGTGCAGGTCCCAGATGCTGTCAGAAAAAAAGGGACTGAACAGCCTGGTTCCTCTAGGGGAAAGTCTTCATCATGGCCTTTTAACAAGGTGGGTTCACAGTGTGAGAGAAGGCTCTTGTGCCCAGGATGGCACCCCATCACCACCTTGGGGACTATGTTTAAGTGACGGTGTTCCCAGCATACTATAAATAATTTTCCTGGCCGGGCACAATGGCTCATGCCTATAATCCCAGCACTTTGGGAGCCCAAAGTGGGGAGATCACTTGAGCATAGGCATTCAAGACCAGGCTGGGCAACATAGTGAGACCTCCATCTCTACAAAAAACACAAACAAAATTAGCTGTAGTCCCAGCTACTCGGGAGGCTGAGGTGGGAGGCTCTCTTGAGCCTGGGAGGTTGAGGCTATTGTGCACCGAGATAGTGTCACTGCACTCCAGCTAGGGTGACAGAGTGAGACAGTGTCTCTAAATAAATAAATAATTCTCCTGAGTTATCACCTACATCCCAGGCTAGGTGTGGTGATGATCTTCCTGGGGACTCTCTTCCCAGGACGGAAGGCGGCGTATGCAAAGGGGCCACCGTCGGCGTGCTGCTGGACCTGAATAAGCACACCCTGACCTTCTTCATCAACGGGCAGCAGCAGGGCCCCACAGCCTTCAGCCAGGTGGACGGGGTCTTCATGCCAGCCCTCAGCCTCAACCGCAATGTGCAGGTACACATGTCCCCCAGGCTGGACCTGGCCTGGCTGCTTCCCACCATTTGCCACAGGTCTCTGCAGTGCCCTTGGTCAGAGTGGGCCGTTAAAAAGCTGACCACAGGCCGGGCATGGTGGCTCACACATGTGAGCCCAACACTTTGGGAGGCCGAGGTGGGAGGATCACAAGGTCAGGAGATAGAGACCATCCTGGCCAATATGGTGAAACACCATCTCTACTAAAAATACAAAAAATAGCTGGGCATGGTGGTGCCTGCCTATAATCCCAGCTACTGGGGAGGCTGAGGCAGGAGAATCACTTGAACTCAGGAGGCAGAGCTTGCAGTGAGCTGAGATTGTGCCACTGCACTCCAGCCTGGGTGGCAGAGCAAGACTCCATCTCGAAAAACAAAGCAAAAAAAAATAAAAGCTGACCACAGTGCCTGACCAGACAGAGCTTACCAACTGGACATTTCCTGGAGGCGGTCCTCTAACTTGTTCACTTGGGACACCCAGGGGTCCTACAGTGGCAGCTTCTGGAGAAGCAGATCTCAGGGCTGAGTCATCCTTGGGGAGTGCTGGTAGCTCAGGAGGCCTGAAACAGGACAAGAATGAGAGCTCAGGAGGGTGTGAGGGACAGAGAAACACAGAGGTGCCAGTCCTTCATCTTAGCAGAGTCCTCCTCCCCCTTGGGATGGGGAGTTGGAGTGGAGCGAGGCAGGGTCCTGTTTTGTGGTCTTGAATATTGAGGAGTCTATATCAATCACTGATTGATCGATTCAATCCTCTACTCATTTAGAAAAGGGGTTTGTGGCAACCTAAAAGATGGGCTTGGCAGGGTATGTTGGCTCACACCTGTAATTCCAGCACTTTGGGAGGCCATGGCAAAAGGATCGCTTGAGCCCAGAAGTTTAAGACCAGCCTGGGGAACTAGCAAAACACCATCTCTACCAATTAACAAATAAGTTTTTTTAATTAAAAAAATAGGCCAGGCACAGTGGCTCATGCCTGTAATCCCAGCGCTTTGGGAGCCCGAGGTGGGTGGATCATGAGGTCAGGAGTTCAAGACCAGCCTGGCCAAGATGGTGAAACCTCGTATCTACTAAAAATATAAAAATTAGCTGAGCATGGTGGTGGGTGCCTATAATCCCAACTACTTGAGCGGCTGAGACAGAGAATTGCTTGAACCCAGGAGGTAGAGGTTCCAGTGAGCTGAGATCCTGCCATTGCACTCCAGCCTGGGTAACAGAGCAGGACTCCATATCAAGAAAATACAAATAAATAAAAGGTTGGCTATTATTCCTCACAGTTAATAGAATGGGGTTAATAGGAAAGGAAAGAGGGTCATGGCTAGAAAGTAGACACAAATATGGAACCACAGGAGCCAGTGCATGAGAGCCATGCTCCTGTGATAGCGTCTAATTTGCCGGCTCCAGCAGCTCTGGCAGAATGAGGAACCAGGCAGCTGAGTGATTCTTATGAGAAAAGAGGTGCAAACCAACATCGCCTTTAATTAGGGATATTGAATGATGTAACGTTCAACCGTCTCCAGCAGCCCTGAGCTGTAGCCTGGGATGGATGGAGCCAGCAGGAGATCCTGCCAGTGTCTGCTTTGCCCTCGTGGCTCTCAGGGTCCCCACGGCAGCCCCTCCCACCCTCACTTCCCCTGTCTTCTTTTCCAGGTCACCCTGCACACAGGATTGGAAGTGCCCACTAACCTGGGGCAGCCAAAGCTGTCAGGCAATTAGCCCCGTTCCAGCTCGGCACCGCGCCTGTGACGGTGGCATTCACAGGCAAAACGCCCACCATTCTCACTAAGCTCAAATAACCCACAAAAGCAGGATACGCAAGTCATGGGTGCAACCTGGCAGCGTGGAATGTTGTAGAGACACATTTTCTTGGCGGCACAGGGGATGGGTCCTCAGGACTGTGCCCCCGGCCGCCACAGTTGTTGGTAAAGGCTAGTACATGTGCCACCCTTATTCACCCAGACATCACTCTTCAAAAAGGACTTTTCTCAAGGGAGTCAGCATTTGGGCTTCATGTCTAAGTTTCCTGCCATCTGTTTTCAAAGCTTGTCTTTTTTTTGGAGGGAGAGGAAGGGAGACTTTGAGACTGGCCTCCTGAGAGCGGCGATCAGGAGCTACGCTGTCATCCCACACCCCAGGCTGTTGGCCCTCTGCTAAGACCCGGCCTCCTCAGAGCAGAGGAGTTTGCAGATTCTCGTCACTGCTGAGAAAGTTCTCCTTCTGCTTCTGGGTCCTGGAGTCTTTAGTAGCACCTGCCACTTGCAGATCCAATGCAGGATTGATAGAAGGGGACATTGATCATTCATGCTTGACTTTTGCCTCTCTCACTGAAGTGCTGAGAACCTTTTAAAATGGCTTCCTTTATTAATCAGCCAATTGCATTCTTTGTCTCTCTCTCCCTTCTCCCTCCGTCTTTACTTTTTCCTCCCTCCTTCTCTCTCCTTCCTTCCCTCCCTCCCTCGCTCTTTCTTCCTTTTCTCCTTTCCCTTTCTTTCCTCCATCCCTGTATCCCTGTCTTTCTTCCCTCTTCCTTTTTCTCCCTCCTTCTCTCTCTCTCTCTCTCTCACACACACACACACACACACACACACACAAGCATGACAGTCTCCTAAAATTAATTCACTCAATTTTTAGTTGTTGTTGTTGTTGTTGTTGTTGTTGTTGTTTTTAAGACAGAGTTTCACCATGTTGGTCAGGCTGGTCTTGAACTCCCGACCTCAGATGATCCACCCGCCTTGGCCTCCAAAATGCTTGGATTACAGGCATGAGCCACTGCGTCTGGCCCAATTCTTAGTTCTTAAATGCACATGAAAACACGAAAATTTTAATAACTATGTGATAAGTCTTCACCTGGTGGTGGCTCCTTTCTGAAACTGGCAACCCAAGAAGTTAACTGAAAACGCATCCAAATTGCTCTTCTGAGCTGGACCACTCTGAGACTCATAAGCATGTAAGATAGGGAGACCCTGGGAAAGCCTCTCCTAGTCAGTCCACCCTATCGTCGTTATGAAAGCATCATGAACACAAGTGGCCCCTGTGGCAGGCAGGGCGGCTCTGCCCTGATGGGTGGGCGGGACCTCTGGGGAAGGCAGAAAATAGAAGGGCGGTACCAGGCACCTTGTCCCTCAGCTTCCCACTGTGAGACTGGGGTGCCGAGTCTGACCTGCTGGGGTTGGGCTCTGGAAACACCAGCCTTCTCCCTAGAGATCCACATCGAGTCATCCCTGCCTCTCAGAGAGAGCTCCTGGGAGAGGCTTTGAGCCAGGAGCCTGCCGGGGGTCCTGTTCCCAGGGAACCCTTCCTCTCTTCCTCCTCTCACCTTCCCAGTCACCTGCCACCTCCAGCTCCGCCTGGTAGTAACATTTCCTGTCTCCTTTTCAAAAGAATACATTGTGTCAAGCATTTTCTTTCTGAGGCTGAGGAACTAACTTGTCGATTTGCTGGACTGGATTTTTATAAAAACTCACCGCGTCCACCGGCACCGACTGTGCACCCTCGGTTCTGCCTTCCTGTTCAGACACCACGCCTGCTTTCAAAACCGCCTGCTGGAGCCACGCAGGTCCTCCCCCGCCCTTCAGCAGGCCCGACAATCCTACCTCAAAGCTCATGCTCTTGGTCTGCGAGGCTCCTGGTCCGCCGTCTTTGCAGATGTGGCCGGCAAGGCCAGCTGCCCCGTCTCTAGGAGCTGCCCGGTGCTGTGTGGCAGCCTCTGCTGCGGAGCCAGGGAGCCGTCTGCTTCCTGGAAGTCGAGGTCTTGGCTCTTCCTTGTCATCCCACCAAACGGTGTCTGGCTCTCCTCCTCCCATCCCAGAGCCCCGTCCAGAGCCCTTGGACGGAACACACGAGACCTGATAACCTGCGTCCTCGCCCGCACAGCTGCCTCTGTCTCCCATCTTCCTGCAGCTTCATCCTTAGCCATAGCTCTGGGTGGCCATGGCTTAGAGCACAGGGGAGATCCCTAAAGATTGGGGACAAAAAGGAGCCACTACTTTCCTGGGGCTGAGGAAGCCATCAGCTTTGGGAAAGTCTAGCTCTCTTCTGAAGAAAACAGGCCCACACCCTGCCCCCGGAATGAGAGCGGGCCACGCAGGGCTGCCCGTGGAGAGCAGCTTCTCACAGGGGAGCCCCAGGAGGGCTGTGTAGCCTCCCACATCACCACAGCCCGGGTCACCAGGTGGCCCCTCGCTCTGCGGAGGAATCCGGAATTGCCCATCACTGGAGCACGAGCTGCCTGGGGCTACCCTGAAACTAAGCCCTTTAAGGGAACAGCATCCAGGTCAGGAGAGATGTGGAAAAGTGCAGGAGAAAAACGCCCACAACTCTGATGGCCTCATTCAGAAGAAAATTCCCTGAAGTCCAGAGAGGGGCAGCCAGGACTCCCTCTTCCCCACTGCCGCCCTGAGCCTGGGGGCTGGGAATCTCCCTTTTCTGACTCCTCCAGGAGCCCAGAAGCAATAAGGCCGATGCCAGGGACAGCATCGAGCGATCCTTCACAGACACCTCTCCCATCTTCAGCACAAAACACCTTCAATGTTCTGACTTCAAACAGAAAGGCGGGTCTGTGCCACACACTTGTGTTTTTGAGGGATCAGAAAAGTGAAGAAGGATCTTATCAATTCTTCATGGCCGGGAAGGTCATGGCCGGAATAGAAATGACAGACAGCTCATGGAATTCTCATCCACCATCGAATTCTGTAACACGTTACATCACGGTGGCATATTTGTACATATAAATGATACCGAGATGATGCTTTTGTTGGGCTGGCTGACGAGTAAGTTGGTGTAAATCTATCAAGCAGTTTCAGTGAAAAAGGAATTCAAAGTAGTTTAAACACGTCGCGTTCCATTGCGTTGTAAATACCGCCTCTGTGATGTGGTTCTGCGGTTGTTCTCTGCTAGTGAGCAAGTTTGGTCAAAGTGTATGCCTTTTCCCTTTTCAAATTAATCTCTTTTCAAAAATATCCACTAGCACCTCACTGCATACGTAGCATCCCAGCTCCTAATTCAAAGCGGGGAAGTATTTTCCTGAAGCCTGCTTTTCCCCCTCTCTGTTCTCCTTGGGAAAATCATGATTCCAATTAAAGAGGACAACAGTAATACTGACCCACAAGGTAACTGACCTAAAAACTATAAACCTGTATATAGTTCCAGGCTGCATCTTCAGCCTGATATGTACTTTGTAGTTGCAACAGTGCCCTAGGTGCCCTATGGCCCACCAAGTTTGGGGAGGGTGGTGCTTTCCAGACTGAGCCTGGGCAGACGCTGCGGAGCTCACCAAGAGAGGTGGGGGCAGGCCCACCCTCTTCTTTGTCCCCTTTCTCTCCCTCTTGACGCCCTTGCCCTCCACCCCACCACAGCACTCTCAGGAAAGGATCAGAATGCAGGATCTTTGTGTATTTCTTCCAGGGATATTTGCATTTAAGCCTTAATTCTAATTGCAAGTGAAAGGCTTGGTCCCCTGGGAAGGTGCGTTTCAGCATCTGCAGGCAGGTGGCTTAGCATCAGGGAGGCTGCTGCCAGTCCCATGGCCACCTGCTGGCTGTGAGGTAGTGAGGGAGGGTCAGTCCTTAGGGGGACTCAACATATGCACGCTGAAGAACACTGTCACACAGCCTGTGGGGTGGCACCAGGGTTGCTCAACCTCTACTGACATTTTGCAGTAGGTCCTGTACACTGTAGGAGGTTTAGCAGCATCTCTGGTCTCTCTCTACCCATCACCTGCCAGTAGCAACCCCCACGTTAGTTGTGACAACTAAAAGCATCTGTAGACAATGCCAGATCATCTCCTGGGGCCTCCACAAGTTGAGAACCACCAGGTTATGCTAGCGGTTTGTCATGCGTGGATCTGCGGAGGGACTGTGGTGCTCCAGCTGCATTGTTCCGTAGAAAGCCTGGATATGACAAAGCTGCCTTTATCTTGACACCCAAGCCCAGTTTTTCCGAAGGTCTTCAGGGGGCAGGCAGGGGAAACTGGGGTGAGCCACCCCCAACAGATGCTAACCTGTTGGGTCTCGAAATTTGACTCACTGAAGACGTCCCCAACCCCCTCCCCAATTCCTAGAAAGCAAAACATGTGAATGTGAACTTTGTTTTCCTTGGCCACATTTTACTGGAAGCAACAGAAACTTCTTAATGGGTTTGTGGCCCTCAAATGGTTTTTTAAAAATCTAACAGATGCTACTGGCAAACACTTAAGATCTATGGTGATGCTGGAAAGTTTCAGGACTTTTCTTCTGCAAGTGAGCGGGTAGCTGTGTTTGCTAACTGCATTCTTTGGCAGCTCCTCCCAGAAGATCAAAGGATCCTGCGGCTTTAACTGTATCTGGGCTGTAAAAACATGAGGGCACGTTTCAGGCAGGATGTATTGACGAGACACCAAGTTCAGCCCTCAGTTACTTCCCTCTTTTAGCCTGGCTTTAATAGTGATTCATGGTATGGGTGGGGGCCAATCTCTTAACCTTTCTGTGCCTCAGTATCCCCTCCTGAAATGAGACTAGTCATACTAACCTACCTCCTCTGATGTATTGTGAGGATTATAGAATAACACTTTTTAAAGAAAAAAGTGCAGTCTTTCATCTCTGGCATCTAAGTTAATGATTCCCATTCAGTGAATCAAACCTGTGAGGGGTTTCCTAGTGTTCTCTGACCAGTGTCTTCCATCCATGCCTCCTTGTGACCAGGGCAAGGAGCTGCCTGGCTGCGAGCAGGTGAAATAGACCTTTAAGACAGGTCTCCTATGACCATAGAAATTAACACGCCATATGTTCCCATTCCCAGTGAGGCTTGTGTGAACAGGCCGCCTGTCAGCAATCTCGCTGCTAGGCCTCAAGGCCTCTGTGGGCGGAAACCCCCTTAAACCAAGGAAGGACATTAACCCAGGCCTCTGCCTTCTCTGTTACTTAAGTTCTGGTATCTAAGCGGTCTCTCAACCCATAGCTTGTCTCCTTTCTTTCCAAAGGTCTCTGCAGTGTGAGTGGGTTTGAAATCCAGTATGGACAGTGTGAAGAGATGCAACTGAGCTGAAGTCTCGAAGGCTGGTTGGGCTAGTGGGTCATCATGTCACTTTCAGATGACTGATAACCACTGGGGCTTCACCAGCACAGGCTACGCGGGTTGGGGGAGACCCTGGCTTTTTCAATGATTGACATTGACATCAGTCAGGAGCTGGGAGTTGAGACCTCCAGGAAAGTCTCGTCCGGAGCCATTGTTCTTCTCTCAAGGAGTGCAGTCCTGGGGAGGGCCCAGGGACTCGTGAGCCAGTGATGCAGGCGCTGCAGACCAGGCCAGGCCCTCAGGTAAAGCACTGAGGAGAGGTCAAAACCAGGCTTCAGGTTCGGGAAGGTGACTGCAGGCAACTGCTGTAGGAGGAATGTGTCAGGTACTTACCGGGTGAGACCCAGCCTGGGAAGCCTCTCCAGCTCCTCCCAGCCCTGGAAACTGGACATCCAGAGCCCCCGGCTTTCTCAGCACCCAGAGGAAGCAGGGAGCGGGCAAAGCAGAAAACGTTCAATGCATGATGTAGGATTGCTGCCTTGGCACTAAGCTGTTGTATTAAGCATGAGAGGTGTTTGTTTAACGTTGGCAAAGGGGTTTAACAAGAAACAAAAAAGCTTTGTGTCCTTGTTTTGGCCGTCGACAGAACTCCCATTTTCTTGCCTTTCTCTACCCCCATTTCTCCTCCTCCCTCCCTCTCTCCCACTGCACCCACTTTTGGTCACTGGTTGTTGGTATTTGGTGGCAGCTCTTGGTCCTGTTACTGTTGATGTTCCACTGAAAACATGGGGGGTAGGGGGGTGTGGTAAGGAAAGCAACTTTTTTCTAATTTTTGTATTGGTATCCACAAGCGTTTGTATTTTTTGAATTGCAAACACTGTGTTTTCTGGTCTTTGGGGGTTGGTTGAACTTTCTGTATCACCTTTTGGAAAACTTGAGTTTTACCACAGTCTTAAGCAGATTTGAAATAAATTCTTTTGACACTGCCAACAACAGAAAGACAAGGTGTGGTCTGTCATTACTGCTCGGCAGTAAGGTCTGCTATTTTCCCAGCTGGCCCTGACGGCCCACCAGACGGGGCAGAGGCTACAAGAGGGGAGGCCACCCCAGTCTCTCCCCCAGTGGGGCTGGAAATCGCTAAGTAGCAGGGTCATTGTGGTTCTGCTTTGTATGCCCAGGAATTTCAAGGTGATTACATGAGACTCTAAACTAGGCTGGGCACGGTGGTTCACACCTGTAATCGTAGCACTTTGGGAGGCCAAGGTGGGTGGATCACTTGGAGACAGGAATTTGAGACCAGCCTGGGCAACAAACAGATGATGAAACCCCATCACTACCAAAAATACAAAAATTAGCCAGGTGTGGTAATGTACCCGTAGTCCCTACTGCGCAGGAGGCTGAGGTGGGGGGATCACTGGAGCCCAGAAGTCAAGGCTGCAGTGAGCCATGATTGGCCACTGCACTCCAGCCTGGGTGACAGAGCAAGACCCTGTGTCAAAAATAAAATAGCCACTCAAGGTGGCTCACACCTGTAATCCCAGCACTTTGGGAGGCTGAGGTGGGCAGATCACCCGAGGTCAGGAGTTCGAGACCAGCCTGGCCAACATGGTGAAACCCCATCTCTACTAAAAAAAAAAAAAAAAAAAAAAATACAAAAATTAGCTGGGTGTGGTGGTGCATGCCTGTAATCCCATCTACTTGGGAGGCTTAGACAGGAGAATCACTTGAACCCATGAGGCGGGGGTTGCAGTGAGCCAAAATCGTGCCATTGCACTCCAGTCTGGGCAACAAGAATGAAACTCTCTCTCTCAAAAAAAAAAAAATAATAATAATAATAATAATAATAAAAAATAAAAAATAAAAATAAACCAGAAGGCCCCACCACGAACAGCAGGAAGGTCATAAAATTCATTTTTGCAAGGGATAATAGGGGTGGAGATACATAACAGTTAACATGCGGTTAAGGGCAATTCATGAGTGCAAAGTAGATCTTCCACGTAGAGATCTGCGGAAACATCCCAACAAACCCGTGAGCAGCAAGGAGCCTAACCTGCCCCTTCAGCCACACAGACCGAGACTAGACAGGCCTGAACCCAAACTCTGTTTTTTGCTGCCTTCTCACCTCATAATCCTCAAGAACAGCCATCTGACATAGCCCCTGATAGCCCCTAAGACCAGTTATCTTCAGGATTACCAAACGGACTCAGCTAGGTAGGAGACAGACACAGAGATGAGAGAGCAAATGTTTCTGAGGGCAGTGCTCTTGGGATCAACACTCAGGGAGGCCCAGAGAATGGAAGCAGGATTGGATGGAGGGAGACACGGAGCACGATGCAGAACCAACGAAGGCCTCAGCCAACTGAACTCTGGAGTTCTCCTGACTTGGGATGAGAGGATTGAGCTTTCACAGTCTCCCACGGATCATTCATTGACTGTGAGTTCCCCTGGCAAGGGGATGAGGCAGTCCCCGCAGAGGGTTGACAGCTGAGGCCTGTTTTCCCTAAGCACTCGGCAGCTGAAGAAATAAGTCCTTCACTCCTGAAAGGGCATCTAGTGGGACAGTTACAGTGCCCACCACAACCCACCACAGTGCCACGTCTGTGTTTCACATAGTGTGGGGAGAAGCTCTTCCAGAATTGCACTGAGACATGCGTGTAAGAGGAAGATGAGCATGGTGGCTTACACCTGTAATCCCAGCACTTTGGGAGGCCAAGGCAGGAGGACAGCTTGAGCCCAGGAGTTTAAGACCAGCCTGGGCAATATGGTAAGATGCAGTCCCTACAAAACATTTTAAAAACTAACTGGGCGTGGTAGTGCATGCCTTTAGTCCCAACTACTCGGGAGGCTGAGCCAAGAGAACCACTTGAGCCCAAGAGTTCAAGGCTGCAGCGAGTTACGATCATGCTGTGGCACTGCAGCCTGGGTGACAGATCAAGGCCTTATGTCTAAAAAACTGAAAACAAAACAAAACAAACCAGAAATTTTTAAAAGTCCAAATTGTTACCATCATTGAAGACTTTTTTTTTTTTTAATGTGCTGCAAGCTTTGAGGAGTTGCTATCACTATAAGCATGGGCAGTATCATTAAAAACGTTAAGTATAGCTGCAAAAGTGATGGCAACTCCGATGAAAACAACATTCACTTGAACGTGGGTACAAAAATACGAGTTAAAATCATCTGTTGGCCGGGCGCGGTGGCTCAAGCCTGTAATCCCAGCACTTTGGGAGGCCGAGGCCGGTGGATCATGAGGTCAAGAGATCGAGACCATCCTGGTCAACATGGTGAAACCCCGTCTCTACTAAAAATACAAAAAATTAGCTGGGCATGGTGGTGCGTACCTGTAATCCCAGCTACTCAGGAGGCTGAGGCAGGAGAATTGCCTGAACCCAGGAGGCAGGAGGTTGCGGTGAGCCGAGATCGCCATTGCACTCCATCCTGGGTAACAAGAGCGAAACGCCGTCTCAAAAAAAAAAAAAAACACAAAAAAATACACCTGTTATTTAACCGTCACAGACAGACATGCTACAAAAGTTGTATTTTATTTATATCACTTCTTACGAACTACACTTTGTATACATGGTAGGCTAAAAATTAAAACTGCTTTTCCACAAAACTGATAAATTACCCTATGCTTGGTTCTTTCATGATATTGTAACATGAAATCATTAAAAATATTATAAGGCAATTTAAGGTAAACTACTAGCATTTACGAAACAGTAAAGTTGTAAAAAAAATTGTATGACAAGCAAATGCACCAAATGCCAGTGAACGTGAAATAGGAGCAAAGCTTGCTGGAGAACATTAAAAGACACTGTTCAGTAGGTTCACTTCACATTCATGCTGCACTTGGCCTGATACGTTCAGCACCATGAAGCAGACCTTTCAGCAACTGGAAATGTTACTTCTGTTTGACTTTCTTTCCTTCGAAACAAAGCGGTCTGTGAAGCGTGTGGTAAGAACGGTCTGTCTAGGGTCTCACAGGGTCCAGTGTCACTGCAGCTGACTTGGCCTGTTCCCCTTCCTTGTTGTATCTGATAGAGTACTTCATCTGGCCACTCTGGAAGAATTTATTTTCTTGATATCAACTGGGCTCAGAATCAATGTTCCATTTTTGAATTTTCCAACCTGTCCAATCCGTCCACTTGACAAAATACTGGGAGCGGACTTCTTCTTTTTGGATTTCCTACATTTAAAGTGAGAGAAAGGTGCTATAAATAGTTAAGCTTCAAACAAGCATCGCAGTACCACCAATCAGGCCACTGCAGTCTGGCCTGCAAATTCCTGGTCACATGCCACGCACACTCCTCTCCCTACTGCACCTTCCTGTGGTCCCTGAAACAGTGCCACTGCCTTCCTGTCTCAGGGCCCTTGCACTGGTTCCTTCCATGAGAAATGTTCTGCTCCCAGATCTTTCCAGGTTGCCCCTCTTCTTTGTTCAGGTCTCAGCTCCAATGTCACGTCCTCAGACTAATTTCTCAGCTGACCCTCTCCCTGTGGTTTTCTTTCACAATGCTCTTTAGACCTCTCCACAGTACTTGCCAGTACCTGGTATCAGCTTACTTATCTGTTAGTATGTTTTGGGGTGTTTCTCTTTCTACAATGTAAGTTCCTCAAGGCCAGGAATATCTTTAGTGTGATTACAGCTATACACCAACACCTAAGGCACCCAAATGCCTGGCACAAAGAGGCATTCAATAGACAAGAGATCGGTGCCCAGAACAAATGACCACATACACGTGTATAGGAGCCCCAGAAAAAAGGCTAAGACAAAAAGAGTCCATTATGAAACAGTAATTCAAAGACAGAGGAAAAGGCACTTGAACCAAAGGTAAGAAACAAGTATAAAGCAACAAAGTCAACAACCCTTACTCATAACTACAGTGCTCTATCTTACATGGCGTGTCAAAGACCAGGCAATACAGACCCAGACTATGCTACTGTAGCAGCAGACTCTTAGAACAGCAGTCTTTTCTTGGAAATGTAAACTGCAGCTTTTCCACTAGTCACCTGGAGCGTCTGGTTAAAGTGGGAGACTGGAGAAACTTCCTAATTCAGTTCTCAGGTAGTTGTTTGATCTTGGGCAGTTTACTAAATCCCACTTTGATTAGGATAAACTGGGAGACAGTGAAGCACTCTAATGGGCTAGCAGCACCACATACATTCAAAGCATCCTTTTCAGAACTAATCAATAGGTTTATCCAGATCGTGCAACCCCAGGGCCTGATGAAATAAATCACTCACCTGTCTTCCTGTCCTCTCCTCTTCTTTTTCTTGAAAATATCTGTTTCTTGGACCTGATTTCAGAATTTAAGGTCATATACATATCAGTAATGGATAATGGGATTCAAAAAAAGGCAAGAGGTCTGTGACCAAAAGTCACTGAGATGCTACTTTTAATATTTTTTTCAAGTGGGCATATTAAACATAACAGTCTCAAAGTTTTATCCTAAAACCCTTTCAAGAATGAGAAAGGCTGGGCCTGGTGTGGTGGCTCATGCCTATAGTCCTAGCACTCCAGGAAGCCAAGGGAGGAGGATCATTTGATCCCAGGAGTTCAAGACCAGCATGGACAACACAGTAAGATCCCATCTCAGTTAAAAAGAAAAAAGAATGTGAATGCCTATTCCAGGTAAGACTAACAGTCTTACAATGAAAACTCAAATCTTTCCTTATAAGTAAAAGGTAGAAAGAGTAACATTTATTCCCCTTGTGGTTTTCATAGGCCCTTGTGTTCTACACAACATAAAACGCAGATCAAAGTAGCCTGCATTATCGGAACAGAAGCACTATAGTTTGGATATTTAACCCTCCAAACCTCATGCTGAAATCTGATCCCAGTACTAGAGAGTTGACCTTGCGGGAGGTGTTTGGGTCATGGCAATGGATTCCTCATGAACGGCTTAGTGCTCTCCTCAGGATAATGAGTGAGTTCTCCCACTGTTAGTTCCCACTTCCCATGACAGCTGATTGTTAAAAAGAGCCCAGCACCTCTCCCCGCTGCTGCCTCGCTCTTTCACGTCTCGCTCTTGCCATGTGATCTCTGTACACATGGAAGCCGCTTCAGACACTCACCGGAAGCCAAGCAGATGCCAGTGCTATGCTTCCTGTGCAGCCTGCAGAACCATGCCCCAAATCCACCTCTTTTCTTGATAAATTACCTATCATCGGGCATTCCTTTACAGCAACGCAAACAGACTAAGACAAGGAGTTTGCTATTTCCAAGCAAACTTTGCATGTAAGTATGCCAGATTACTTGGCTGGTATTATTAAATGTAGCTAACTTGAAGAAGTGGAGAGCAGGGCATCCTTTAATTCTGGTGTCTTCACTGCTCTCCAAGCAGTGGTTTCCAGCCTTCCACTGCAGCAAACAGCATCCATCTTTCCATTCTAGTTTAATAAAGAACAGACCATTACACCTACCAGTCTCTTTTCTTCCTCCTTTGCTGCCTTTTTTTCTTTAATTTGCTCCTGTAAAACCTTGTAATTCACATAACTCTTTTTAGGAGGCTGAAATGAAAGAACAAGGAAACATACCATCATATTTTATTCTGCAATATCATTCCATGTCCCTCGCCCTGACTTGCCCTTGGCTTTCCTTGCTCTTGCTTTTTCTAAATGTTGTCTGGTGATGCACGGTGGCAGCAGCCCCTCACCTTAGCACCCAGCATGATGGCACGTTCCTGTTCCAGGATTCTCTCCTTTCCTTTTCCATAACCCGTGATCCCAAACCGGTGTACTTCTAAACGAGCCTGCGGACACAAAGCACAATCAGATCCAAGTGCATTCCAACAACTCCAGAGAAAAAAAACACATATTGTCAGAAGTAATGCATTTCAGATCCACTGCACTGTAATAATAGCACACAGGAATAATAACTCCACTATTGTGTGGTTGAAGGAGCTCTATAGAGGCTCTCCTACCATATACCGTGTCTCACAACATCTTTCTCCCATTTTTTTCTTTGAGACAGGGTCTTGCTCTGTTACCCCCCGGGATGGAGTATAGTGGTGTGGTCATGGCTCATTGCAGCCTTGACCTCCTGGGCATGTGATCTCCTGCCTCAGCCTCCTGAGTAGCTAGGACTATAGGCACATACTACCATACCCAACTAATTCTTAAAAATGTTTTATAGAGATGAGGTCTCACTATGTTGCCCAGGCTGGCCTTGAACTCCTAGGTTCAAGCAATCCTCCCACCTCAGCCTCCCAAAGTGCTGGGATTACAGGTGTGAGCCACCAGGCCAGGCTATCTCCCATGTTTAATTTGGACAGCTGATGCAAAGAATTATCTCTACACAAAGTAATAACAGAGCCAGGATTGAATGCAGAGCTCTGTAGTACTTTAGGATGCCCTTTAAAACAAGCCATTGTCCATAAAGGCAGTAATATAAACTGAAAAGCACCTCTCCAAACACACACACTCACACTTAGAAACAAGATATAGCAGCAGCTTCAAACACAGACCCATGGTTTCAGAAGGAACAGAAAAAGCAATACCCACTCTTAGTAGTTGAATTACTTCTTCCCGTCTTTTTTCTTACACATTTTTAAAAACAGTACAACCACAGAATACACATATCCCCATACTTACCATTATATCAGTAGTGTTGTAGTCACAAAACCGTCATGTATTAAATGAGTATGTACTATTCAATCAAGTGAATGCAGACCAGGGATGGTGGCTCACATCTGTAATCCCAGCACTTTGGGAGGCTGAGCCAGGGGGTCACTTGAGGTCAGGAGTTCAAGACCAGCTTGGCCAGCATGGTGAAACCCCACCTCTATTAAAAATACAAAAATTGCCGGGCGCGGTGGCTCAAGCCTGTAATCCCAGCACTTTGGGAGTCTGAGGCGGATGGATCACGAGGTCAAGAGATCAAGACCATCCTGGTCAACATGGTGAAACCCCATCTCTACTAAAAATACAAAAAATTAGCTGGGCATGGTGGTGCGTGCCTGTAATCCCAGCTACTCAGGAAGCTGAGGCAGGAGAACTGTCTGAACCCAGGAGGCGGAGGTTGCGGTGAGCCGAGATCGCGCCATTGCACTCCAGCCTGGGTAACAAGAGCAAAACTCCGTCTCAAAAAAAAAAAAATTAGCTGAGTGTGGTGGTGTACACTTATAGTCACAGTTACTTTGGAGGCTGAGGTGGGAGGATCACTTGACCCCAGGAGCTGGTGGCTGCAGTGAGCCAAGATCATGCCACTTCACTCCAGCCAGGGTGACAGAGAGACTCTGTCTCAAAAAAAAAAAAAAGTGAATGCAGTATGATTTGCTTAATCATTTTCCCAACCTTTAGACATGTAAAATATTCATTTTTAGATATCATAAAACTATTATTTTTTTGTCATATCAACATTTATACTACACGTGTACTAGGAGCCCAAGAAAAGGTACTATAAATAGTTAAGCTTACATATAGTTCACATATTATAAATTTACAATAAATTTAATATAAACATATGTTTATAAACAAATACTGTAAATAAAGTTAATAAAAATTATTTAACAATGTCAAAATACATACCTTTTCTAGGTTAAATTCTTGTATATCCACATCTCTCTCCAAAACACTAGTTCTAGTCTACTGAGAGAAAAAAATCTTATTAAGATCATCTGTTACTATATCATTATAGTATCTATCACCAAAAGAGTAGACATGTTTTAAGGAACCTGAAAGTGACCCTCTCAGACCCACTAGACTGGCTACTATGAAAAAAAACAGAAAGTAAGTGTTGGCAAGGATGTAGAGAAACTGGAACCCATGTCCTCTATTGGTGGCAATGTTTTACCACATCGTATAGCCACTGGGGAAAACAATGATGACCATTCATCAAAAACTTAAAAATAGAATTATCATAGGATCTCACAATTCCTTTTCTGGGCATACACCCAAAAGAACTGAAGGGAGGGTCTTGAAGAGGTATTTGTACACCTATATTCACAGCAGCATTATTCATAATAAACACAGAAGCAACTCAAATGTTCACCAACAGATGAACAGATATTTTTTAATGTGACATATACATATGATGGAATATTCCACAGCCTGAAAGCAGAAGAAATTTACGACCCATGCTATGACATGGATGAACCTTGAAGACATGATGCTAAGTTAAATAAGCCAGTCACAGAAGGGTATGTGCATGATTCCATTTTATGAAATACCCAGAGGAGTCAAATTCACAGAGACAGAAGTTAGAATGGTTAGCTGCCAGGAGCTGGGGGAAAGGGAATAGGGAGCTGGTGTTGAATGGGTATAGCGCATCAGCATTGTTTCAGCAAGCTGAAAAGTTATAAAATGGATGGTGGTGAGGGCAGCACAACACTGGGAATGTGCTCCACACCACTGAACTGCACACTTAAAAATGGCTAAAATGGTCAATTTTACATTCATGTATATTTCACCAAAATTTAAAAATTGAAAAACAGAAAGAAACCTTGAAACGATCCCAGACGGGTGAAACCCCTGGGCCCTGGAAAGAAACTGGCATACAAAAGAGAGGAGCAATGTCAGGGCTCTCCTAGTCCCTGCTATCTCCATCAGCAGCCACACAGAATACCTAACCCCCTGTACCTTGGCTGTGGGGACATCAGGGCTGAGGGGCCGACTAGACCAAGGGACGGGAGAGCCCCTTCGTGGTAGCTGTGGCCCAGACACAAATAGCTCGGTGTCCTCATCCCTCTGTTAAACAGTTCACCAGAAACATCTTAGTTTTGTAGCTATTGATGTCTTTCTGAGAAAGGGTCTGAGGTCTAGATCTGTGTATGTAACAAACACAAACTTTTTGGAAAAAAAAAATTCTTGGCTCATTATTTCATAGATGCTGAGTCTCTATTAGCATGAACCACCACCGTCTAATTTTTATTTTTATTCATAGCTTGAAAATCACTTCAGTACATTATTCGTAATACATGACCGGATATAGAAACCATCGGTGGTCTCCTCGGTTTTCTTTACCCCGCTATTCTCTGCAGTAGGAGGCATTACTGCCTAAAGGCAATACTGGGTCCTCCTCTACTTCCAGGCACAAAGAAGACTCATGCTTCCCCGTCTGCTTGATGCTAGGCAGGCCTAGGTGGCTTTCCCTGGCCAAAAAACACAAGCAGAGGGGTGTGTGCCTACTTCCACATGGAACCCTTAAGAGCCCTTCATTAACTCCCCTTTCCTTCACTAAAGCAACTAACAACCCTCCAGACGACGGCACCGCAACATCCTGGGTCCTCAGATGAAGACGGTGTGGGGCAGGAGACTTGGCTCTGCGAATCCCAATGGCCATGTAACATAAGAAAATTAACTTTTGCCTTTTAAGCCACTGGGATGTAGGGATTATTGGTTATCAAATCACAGACTAACCTATCCCAACTAATCTAGCCTTGCTATCCCACACAAGGGAGAGGTGTATGTATGGAGATTTTGAGAACTTACATGCTGGGCAGGGAAGAAGGAAGAAAAGCTAGAAAAAGAAAGAACAGTTTGGAAGAAACCTGAGATGAAGGCAGGTAGTCCACCAGACTCAGCAAACCTGTCTATGGGGTGATGTAAGTATTGTCTCTTAACATAGCTTAGATTTTCTTTTTTTTAAATCTATTAGTTGGAGTGCCCAACCAACCTGTCTCCAATGAAAGAGTAGCTGCATAAGCAAATGCTCTTTAAAAAATGCAGACAGCTGTATAAATATTAAGAAGTTTGTTTACACCTTGATGAGTCTAAATCACTTCAACTAGATTACTTTCTTCCTAACACCCATCCAACACTGATCTACTCAGGAACAAGGAGTGTGGTGTAAAGGTAAGGAGCAGCACTGGAGCACGGAGGATTTCAGGGTGGAGCACCATGCAGTGGACCACAAGCATATTGCGGGGAATTGAGACCATAACATGGGAGCTGCAAGAATCTGTGGAATGATCAAAGCTATCTGACAATAACTTTGGAGAAATGTCTCCATGTCTGGCAATGGCTCAGAGTCAGTGTACTTGTCCTGTGTCACTCAAAGGACAAAGAGATGAGCCTCACCTCACCTACGCTCTCTCTAGTATAGCAGTTTAAGTACACAGCGTTGAAGCCAGAAAGCCTGGGGTCTGAACCTGACCTTTGGCACTTACTTCAGCTCCATAATCCTTTATCTGGCATCCTTAGGGTCAGGTTCCAGCTTTAAAACTCAGAAGTCTTTATATTTTAAAAAGGCCAAACTGAATATACTGAGTATTACAGACCACTTACAGTAAGGTCCAAGGCGGTAACCCATAATTAATATTTCTGTGGCAATATCTAAGAATATTCACACCAAATGACAGGAGCAAAAATGATTTTTAAAAGCGTCATCAGGTTTTTCTGCCAAATAAATTTGCACCAATCTTAAAAGAAAAAAGATCAATCAAATCGTGGTTTCCAGAGCTCTGGGTGTTTGGAATTGCAGATATGGGGCTGTGGGGTTAATGTTTGACTATAGGCAAGTAACACAACCTCTTATAGACCTCAAGCTCCTCTGTAAAATGAAGACAGGTCCCAGGAATTGTGAGGACTAAGACCATAAATTAATGAATATAAATAAATACTCTCAGTACACCCCCAGTAATTATTAGCAGTTTGCTATATGCTCCGGGGCAGCCTCCATGTACCTCGGTCCCAGGATGCTAAGGTCCTTTCTGATCTACAGAACACTGTTGTATTATGTGTTTCTTATCACTTTCTTATCTAAGGCCACAAAGGAGGCTAAGGTTCCTGAAACAGAGGCAATGAATGATTCATGTTAAGACCAAGATGGCCCAATGCTAGGTGTGAAGAAATGGCAGTGACATAGCCATAAGGGCTAAGCAACATACACACACACACACACACACACACACACACACACACACACACGTGTTAAGCTACATCTGATACTTTCTTTCCTTTTTTTTTTGGAGACGAGAGTCTCACTTCGTCCAGCAGGCTGGAGTGCGGTGGTGCAATCTTGGCTCACTGCAACCTCTGCCTCCCAGGTTCAAGCAATTCTCCTCCCTCAGCCTCCTAAGTGGCTAAGTAGCTGGGGGCACATGCCACCTGTAATTAACCTGGCTAATTTTTGTTATTTTAGTACAGACGGGGTTTCACCATGTTGGTTACGCTGGTCTCAAACTCCTGACTCTGTGATTCGCCCGCCTCAGCCTCCCAAAGTGCTGGGATTACAGGTGTGAGCCTCCGTGCCTGGGCTAATCTGACACTTCCATTGCTTAAAAGCATTAAGTATTTTCTTTTTCACAGGCAGTCTTGCACCTATGAAAGAGTAGGTTCGCCTATTCACTTTTGAGATCACTCCTCATGCCTCTTGCTATTGCTCCCTTATAATCCATTCACCATATAGGAGCTACAGTGATCCTTTTAAAATTTAAATCAGATCACCTCATGCCCTTGCATGAAATTTTTTGGTGGCTCCTCATGTAAAGACTGAAGTCCCAAGGCCCACCACTGCCTGAGACCTGGCATTCTCCCCTCTGTTCTACTCCTGCTAGACTTCTTCCAGCTCCCTGAACATGCCAGCCCTCCTTCACCCTCCAGCGTGTTGGCAAGACTGTTTTCTCTCTCCTTGGCTCACTCTTCTCTGCCCCGTTCACCAGCACCGTTTAATACAGCATTAGCCTGAATGGTACCTCCTGAGAGACCTTCCTGACCACTATATCTAGAGCAGGTTCTGCATGGTACCCCAGGACCCTAATTGTTTATAACTCCATTTAATTATATTATATTGTTCGACTACAAAGTAGATTGTTTAGTATACTCCAGAAGGGCAAAGGACTATTATCTTCTGCACTGCTCTATCTGCAAGGTCTGCAGACAGCAGGCACCCAGTAATTGGTGGAAGAAATAACGGAATGACTATGTAATCTCTCAGTATTTCCAGTCAAATTACTTGTATAGTTACTACATTAAAAATGAGACATGATGGCTGGGCACAGTGGCTCTCACACCTGTAATCCCTGTGCTTTAAGAGGCTGAGACAAAAGGACTTCTTGAAGCCAGTACTTCAAGACCAGCCTGGGCAACAAAACAAGACCCCATCTCCACAAAAAATTTTAAAATGAGCCAGGCATAGTGGTGTGCCCTGTAGTCTTAGCTACTTGGGAGGCTGAGGCAGGAGGATGGCTTGAGCCCAGGAACTGGAGGCTACAGTGAGCTATGATCACGCCGCTGCACTCCAGCATGAGTGACAGAGCGAGACCCTGTCCCTAAATGTAAAAAAATATATATATAAATGGTGGCCAGGTTCCCAGATACACCCATGAAAACCTGCTTCAATGCACAATGCAGCTTAATCACAGGATTTATAGCACAAGTTCTGGAAAAATAAGGTCATATCCTGGGGTGAGGAAGGGCCAGCTGGATTGCTGTCCAACTCACCATTCCCTCCTTCGTTTCTCCAGCATTCTCTAAAGATGACCAGCTGGTGCCATGACTGGTCATGAAGGTTATCATTACCCATCATACATTTTTGCCACCCATGTCTGTTTAACTGTCCTACAATGGCTTAGAAGTTTTTAGGGAACGAGGGCACAACTATAATTTAGCATACTTGCATAAACTCAGCAGAGATGGTGTATTCCAATGAGCACCAACTAGCTGACTCCTCTTTTAACTGGCGTACCCAGGATATGCTGTAAGAACTAGCATTATATTCACATGTATTTATTTCCACACTGCAATGTCAACACTCTAAGGTCATTTTATGGGTATATGTGTTTTTAATGTGTCTACCTTCTGTCTCCTTAATCAGGAGACATTTTCAAACAATACATTAAAAAAAAAAAAAGAGGAAAGAGCAGAGCACCAATGACAAATGAAAAATTTCATTAAGGTCAGGAAGTTCAAAATGTAGAGTGAGCTGAGGGTCCTGAGAAAACCCAACTAGAATGCATAAGGGGTCGCTTGGAACTGGAAGCAACGGACAATCTGAGAGCCTGCCACAGATGTTCTATTACTAAGCAACAGAGAAATGCAGACTCATTCAATGCCAACTCTTCTGTCCTTTCTATTAAAAAGAAACTTTCCATTCCAGAAAGAAGAATACGAGGGAATGTAAGAGGAAACGGAAGTCTGAGACATTTGAAGAAACAAAAAAGAGGTGCCTAAACGCTTTATGTTAGTTTAAGTCTTCAAATGCCAAATTACATTGCAATGCAGCGCTTTCCAACCTTTTCACATCATGATACATACAGAAAATACCAGTGTTTGTAGGGAACACTGGGGTACTGGGAGATGGCCAGCTTGCAGGCTCTGTTGCCCCAAACACCAAGGGAATCCACTTCTCGGCCCTTCTGCAACAGCTCCCAGAGCTTCAGCATTTGGAACCTAAGAGTTTAAGAAGTTTACTTACCTAGAATCCTAAAATAAAGGTAGATATGGTTACAGATTCACTAATAATCTTTTCTCTTTTTTTGAGACAGGGTCTTGTTCTGTCATCCAGGCTGGAGTACAGTGACACAATCACAGCCGACTGCAGCGTCGACTTCCTGAGCTCAAGCAATCCTCTGGCCTCGGCCTCCCAAAGTGATAGGATTACAGGTGTGACCCACCACACTCAGCCTGCAGAATGCACTAAAGATCTTTGAGGAAGAGATGCCAGTAAGCCTGACAGGAAGTCCTCTCTGAATTTTAGAAAAGATTATCAGATGGCTTTTAAAACCATAAAGACAGACACTAACATGCATTTATACATACATAAAGAACAGTGCAAGCCAAACTATCTTTGCAGTGGTTGGAATTGTGGCCTCTAAAAACTTATGGCCATGACCCACTCCTCTTCAGAACCTGTGAATATTATCTTACTTAGGAAAGGATCTTTACAGTGTAATTAAACATCTCAAGAGGAGATCATCCCAGATTCAGGGTGGGCCTTAAAGCCAAGAGAAAGGCAGAGGGAAACATGAGACTCGGGCACACAGGGATGAAAGCCACATTAAGACGGAGGCAGAGATTAGAGTTATGCAAGCACAAGCCAAGGAAACTCTTAAAGCCACCTTCTGGTCAGAAGCAAAGAATTCTCCCGTAGAACCCTCAGAGGGAGCATGGCTCTGCCAACACCTGGCGCACAGAACTGTAAGAGAATACATTTCTATTGGTTTAAGTCACCAAGTTTGTGGTAAGTTGTTAGAGTGGCTTTAGAAACTAATACATACAATCCTCACTTCTTTGCTGATAGACAAAGGTTTGTAGAACATGGGGATGTTATAGAAACGGAATATCTAGATTTGAGCAATGAATTTGTCAAAGCCATTATGATATTCTCGTGAATAAATGAATTAAAAATATTTGGAGAAGTAACCACACCTCCCTTGAGGACTGAATTTTTTGGGTCAGATTTACAAGTTCAGTCTGAAAAAGATTACTGCTCAGAAAATTCAAATTGCTTTTCCTTCAGCCTTGTTTTTCCTTGAGAGCAAGAATTTCTACATATTTTGTTCACTGCTATATCCCAGTGCCTACAACTGTGGCTAGCACACAGCAGGAATGCCAGAAAGAATTGCTCAAAGGGTTAACTCAGCAAGCCTGTGTTTATCAAACCCTGTACATTCCCAAGAAAGTCCTATTTTCATGACTGGCAATTGGCTGGCTCCTGAGAATTAAGCAATTAGAATATTCTGCCTCATCAGAGTGTTTTTGCATCCCTGAGGTCTTAAGCCACCGCTGTAATAAGTTTGCCCAGGTAGTTTATACTAGCAATGTGACTGATTGGGAATACCTGCTTTTTTCTGGAGGGTTAGAATTTGAATAACCAAGGTCAGCCTGCAGGCCTACATGACTGATAAGAGCTATATGCTGAGTCCTGGGTCCTGTGAATCCTTCTGGGAAATCTGCGGGCCTGAGGATAGTCAGGCATTCCTGCCACAGTCTAAAACGCTATTCACCTAATAATACAACACCAGGGGTTTCACCACATACATTTAAGCTAACCAACTCATTACCTGTGTGCTCTTGCTATGATCTGGCTTCAGTTTTCTTTTTTTATTTCTGCTGTGAAATTCTACCACTTCTACTTGTTCCCTATGGTTCTCTAGGGAAGAGGGAGGAACTGCAGGAGCGAGGATCTCTGGTCCTGAAGAGGGACCTGTGGGGGTGCCAGCAGGAGCACAATGCAGCTCTTCTCTGATTTCCTTGAAGAAGCTTAAAGCGCTCTTCCTCTGGCCTCTTATGAGAGAACCAGGTAGGGGAGATGGCTCTGCTGCCAAGGCCGTTGCACCCTCCACATCTCTCTTCTTGTTTTCCCTTTTCTTCAGGATCTTCTTCTGTTCTGTTTCACCTTCCGTCTCTCCTGTTTGTTCAAACACACGAAGGAAAACAAAGATTTTCAGTTTTAGCTACCATCAATATCATATGAATGTACTTGTACATATTCCACGGCTATATGCACCCAGAAGCACACACAAAGAAACTATTTTTTTCCTTTAAGTAGAGTGTATTTGCAAAATGCGTAGAATCCAAAATGTAGTCATCTTTTTCTAGGTAACTGCATTTATGTCTTTGACCCATGTTCGCACAATCACTTTTAGTCCCTACCTTGGTCCTTACTCAAAGTGTCATCACAGCGATAGTCTCCAGGGCTAGTAATCCCAATAGGCTTTACACTAAAAACAGCAGCCACTGCAGCCACTGTTTCTTTTTAACGCTTTCTGAGTTACAGGAACATGGAATAGTCTTCCTATTTTCTTTCACAGTTAAGAATTAAGGTGAACCCAAGACAACTGGCTCAATGTGAATGCCTTTGTTTTCTACTAAATCCTCTTATCTACTCTATATTTCACCTGTTCAAACTCTGACCAGTCACTTGAAAGTTCTAACCAGAATCCTACATTTCCTTATTCACATACATGACAAATACCACAAAGCTCTCTACATTACTAGCTGTTGATTTACGCTTGCAACTATTTGCTTCATCTTTTACACAATAAACATTGAAAAGCCAACTAACCTTTGGCATTAAGAATATAGATATGAAAAGACACATTCAATGCCTTCAGAGCTCCTACCATAACTTTCGGCCTGTAACGACATAAACTATAGTAGGGGCACAGAAATGCTAGTTAAAGAGTGGGGTCTGGGGCTAGAATCATAACCCAGGCTCTGCAAAAATTACCAGTTATACAACCTGCATCAGGTTTCATTAACTTCTAGTACTTGTTTCTACACTTGCAATCATGGGATTCATGACAAGTGTCTATTTCATGAAGCTGAAAATTAAATGAGCAAATATATGAAAAGCATGTGGTAGATGACAAGTTCTCAATACTTTTAAGTATGATTCCTACTGTTTAGGTGAGCTTAGAATTTTCAGCAGTTCCAAAATAAAAAATAGCTTTTAAAATATCGCGCCACAACTTTAAGAAATGTGTTTTGTCCTGAAATCTAATGATTTTATTTGGTACATGTGCAAAGGGTGTCACCTTCCCCCGGGCAAAGTATGGCACAGTCTTCCCACTGACATGCCATGAGACTTTAATGGGCTCTTTTACTTTCCTTTTGCCGCATCAAGATAAAGAAAGGAGAGTAAAAGGTCAGCACACTTGTTTGAAAAAAAGAAAGAAAGAAAGAGAAGAGAAAGAAAGAGTTGTGAAAAGGACAATTGGCAAGGACTATGAAGTCCCTGTCAAGGAACACACAAGAATGAAACTGATGAACTACCCAAGAGGACCGAGGCCCCAGAGCGAAATGACACCATCGAATGAGGGTCAGGTAGGTCTCTGCGGGTGGCATGGGGAAAGGGGATTTCCCAGAGCTCAGGAAAACATGGAAATGTGGGCTACTTCGAGAGTCCAAGGTCTTGGTTCTTCCTACAAGCAAGTACGATAGTCCCCACACTTGGAAACGAGTTGGAAAGTTTGATGAATAATGTGTGATGGAGAAATGTGTTCTGCATCCGCTACTGGAACCACGTGGGACGAAGTGAAGGATGCTTGACATGCAAGAACCTTCAGCCTCAAAGTAGAGGCCAGCCCAGGACCGGCTGCACAGGACACCTTCGTTCCTCAAATCTGCTCTCCACGTGGGCTCCTGGGACCCTCGCACTCACCAAAGTCGTAGAGGTTCTGGAGCAGAGCGTCCAGAAGTGTCGGAGAACTGGAAGGCGTGGCGGACCCCGGCCCTTGCTCCAGCGACATTGTGGGGTCCGCCGTAAGAATCACTCCTCATTCCGTGGCTCAGCGCCCCGACTTCCGGGTTCCGCGTCTGCACGCATGCGCCACAGGGCCCTGCGCGGCTTCCGTCCTGGCTAAGATGGCGGCGCCCGGGGTCCCTGTGGAGCGGCCGCAGAGGGTGCCGCCGCCCCAGGCAAAGTGGGGCCGTCCTGCGAGAAAGAACCGCCCCCAGCAGCAGCAGCACCACCACCACAACCGTTTAGCAAAGAATCCCAGACCCCGCCCGGGACGGCAGCCGCACCATGGAGTCTTCCAGTTCATCTAACTCTTATTTCTCCGTTGGCCCCACCAGTCCCAGCGCTGTCGTGCTCCTCTACTCGGTAGGCACCCAGGGAAAAGAGGCCCCGAGATGAGCCGCGCGAGATAGGACCCCTTTCTCCCAGTTCTTCCTTCTTCCGGCTCACGACCCTTGCCCAAAAGAGCTGGTTCCTGGGCTCCCGAGCGGGGGTTAGTTGGTTGGGTTGGTTTCCAAGACAACGGTGTATCGCTGTGTGTCTCTGTGTGTGCATGCTTTTAGAAGTTTCTACCGATTACGGTTCCTTTGGTTCCTTTCCACTTGTTCCTTATCTTTCTGTCAGGCCCTGGGCCTTCAGAAAGCTCCTGGACACAGGAATGATGGATGAGAATTGGAGTCTCCCCATCTCTAGCGAGAGCGTGTCGAGCTACCTTTTGGGCAAACCTGAGAAACCTGCGGGTCTGACCCGCCCTGAGATAGTCTGTGGCTCTGCACTCCGCCCTTGGCTGATGTTACATTCCTGGGAGTAAAGCACTTGTCTTGTATGTAGGGATAGAGTTTTAAACACTTTAATGTAGCAAGATTTAGAACTTCTAGGCATTTTTATTGCCTGTTTTATCTTCCAGGCATTATTGTACCTTTTCCACAAATCATTTTGGAGGACGGCAAGCGCCACCCAGCTTCTCTCCTGCTTGCCTTTTTCATCCCAACCCCCTGTTTTAACGAGTCTTTTTTGCTGACAGATGTTGGTCACCCACTGTTTTCATGAAGAAATTATGTGATGGAAGCTTTATAGCTTTCACGATTGCACATTCCTGGGGTAACTGATTTGGTTTTTGTTTGTTTCTTGTTGTTTTTAAACATGAAATTAGTTTTTAGCTACTTTAGGAGGAAATAAAAGAATACAGTTTAAAGCATATTAGGGGTCAGGCTTGATGGCTCACGCCTGTAATTCCAGCACTTTTGGAGGCTGAGGCGGGTGGATCACCTGAGGTCAGGAGTTCGAGACCATCCTGGCCAACATGGTGAAATCCCGTCTTTACTAAAAAATATATATATAAATTAGCCGGTCGTGGTGTCTGGCACCTGTAATCCTAGCTACTCGGGAGGCCGAGGCAGGAGAATTGCTTGAACCCGAGAGGCAGAGGTTGCAGTGAGCCGAGATCACGCCACTGCACTCCAGCCTGGGCAACAGAGCGAGATTCCGTCTCAAAAAAAAAAAAAAAAAAAAAAATCATATTAGCATGTCGTGCTTAGTGTCCCCTTTTGGCTTAAATATAGTGTCCATTTGTGCAGAAGGTCAAAACAGGGATGACACAAAAGAGCAAGATAAACACCCCAGTTTCTAAAGAGAATATGGCTACTTTCAAATTGGGACATCAATATTCTTTGGAACATGGAGAAACTTCTGTTCCTTCTGTATCAAGAACTTTCAGTATCTGATTGCTAACTGCCTAGTTCTCTAAAGCTTATCGTTCAAATCGCTCTCTTCATTGATCTTCTCGCCCCACAGTTCTGTGGTGGACGTACTTTAACTTTGTTTTCTGACTCTGCTACTCCAGAGCAGGGTTGAAGGGAAGAGGGTTGCTGTGGAGATCCACCTTTTAACGTGTAGCTTTTTCAGCTTTCAATTGGTTTGTGAATTGGCTGGAATTTTCCTTTTGTGCATTAAAGGAAGGAGTTGGGGTTTTTTGTTTTGTTTTACTTCCCGATTCGCCAATGATTCTTTAATAAGACTTGAGTCTACTTTTTCATGTGAAAAACTATGGCAGTTGGATATGGATAGCCTTTACTTCCATGGTAACCTTACTCTTTCTTAGTACTTCAGGCTGTTTTTATTTCCCCACATACACTGTTATTGTGTAATACTCTGCAAAGTAGCACTTTAGAAATATTTAAGATACAGCTGATTACAACAAACATTAGGAGTATATACAGTATCTTACTCATTACTCTCAGGTTCTAAGATACAGAAGTTACAGATCCAGGCTTTGCCTTTAACGGCACAAAAAGTCATAAAAGTAAACAAATAATTACAGTTAAGTAGGGTAAGGGCAATGATTGAAGCATGCACAGGGTATTTTAAGAGTGACAAGAAGAGTCACCTGGCCAGTTTGGGAACTTGGAGGTTTCTAAGAAAAGGTAACATCTTTCTTTCTCTTTCTTTCTCTTTCTTCCTTTCTTTCCTTTCTTTCCTTTCTTTCTCCTTGGAGAAGGTTTCTAAGAAAAGGTGACATCTGAGCTGATCTTTCTTTTCTTTTCTTTTCTTTCTCTTCTTTCTTTCAAGACAGTCTTGCTGTGTTGCCAGGCTGGGGAGCAGTGGCTCGATCTTGGTTCACTGCAACCTCTGTCTCCTGGGTTCAAGCAATTCTTCTGCCTCAGCTTCCCAAGTAGCTGGGATTTTAGGTACACGCCCCCACCACACCCAGCTAATGTTCGTATTTTTAGTAGTGACAGGGTTTCACCGTATTGGCCAGGCTAGTCTCGCACTCCTGGTCTCAAGTGATCCACCTGCCTTGGCCTCCCAAAGTACATTTGTATTTTTGAAAGTCTGAGACGACTATTAGGTTTCTGATGTGATTATCTGTGTAGGCAACCTGTTTTGCTTAAGTAGAGACTGTAGGAAGAGAATCGGGTTGGGGAATGAATCTGATGCATAGAAGTGGAGATCAGTTAGAATACTATTGCAGTCATTCAGAGAAGTAATGAAGCCTGAAGTAAGGCAGTAATAGTGAGCCGGGGAAGAAGGGAAATTGATGAATTTGTGTGATATTTAGGACAGTAAATCATCTGCCTTTGGAACCATTTGTATGTGGTGGCTAAGGAAAAGAGCCTATGTGAAGCTATTGGGTTTCTATGATTTGGCAACTGGGCGGATGATGATGCCTTTCACTGATGGGAAATATGGAGGAGCAGGTTTAGTCAGGGTAATAGAATAGAATTCAATTTGGAGTATACTCAGTTTGTGATGTAAGAGATAAATGTAATGATTTTTAACTTATGGATTATCATGTTCTGGGCCAGATACATCCCATGGTGTTTGGGAGAGATCCAAGTAGAGTTAGAAATATGGTGCCAGAGCAAGAGAGGGGGTCTGGCCTAAATATATAGGTTTGGGCAGTCATCAGCGAGTAGGTTGTATCTAAAGCCATCGCTGAACCTGAAAGCTTTCAGTGAGACCCTAGAATGAAAAGAAGACTGAGGATGGATTGATGGCTTCCTGTTAAAGTCCCAGTGAAAGATCCAGATGCCTTACAGTGTCTGACAGGACTGTACATGATCTCTTAACTGCTGTTGCTCTGACTTACTAATCTTGTTCACTGGGCTTTAGCCACTCTGGCCTTCTGTTTCTCAGACAGCAAGCATGCTCTTTCCTCAGAATGCTTATAGTCCCTTCTGTGTGGCATGCTACATTTTCCCAGAAGTTTTCATCGCTGGTTCTTTGTATTTTTGAGGTCCCCAACTTAAGTATCACTTCCTCAGAGAGACCTTCCACAACCGTTGAATCTGAAGCAGCTCTGAAATCATTCTTCCTCATTTTCCTCATTAGTTGCCCAATATTCTTTCTTTTTTTTCTTTTTAGTTTTGGCTTTTTAATTAATTAGTTTTAGAGCCAGGATCTCACTCTGTCACCCAGGGTGGAATGCAGTGGCACAATTATAGCTCACTGTGACCTCGAACTCCTGAGCTCAAGTGATCCTTCCTCCTCAGCCTCCTAGTAGCTAGGACTATAGGTGCGTATCACCACACCTGACTGATGTGTGTGTGTGTGTTTGTGTGTGTGTGTGTAGAGTCAGGGCCTCACTGTGTTGCCAACCTGGTCTCAAACTTCTGGTCTCAAGTGATTGATCCTCTTGCCTTAGCCTCCCAAATCACTGGGATTACAGGTGTAAGCCACCATGCCCTGCCCCCAGCTTTATTTTCCTTATATTCTCTTTCCAGTGGTGTGCTACAGCAGTCTTCTATTGGCTTACAAGAGCTGATTGTTGAATTTTCATGAAGTTTGTGAGCCCATTCTTGAAACACAGCTGTTATTAAAAATTAAAGATTAAATTATATAAATTTATAATTAAGTCATGTTTAAAAACCAAGTAATAAATACTGAAAACTTAGCATTTCCTCATTATTGTACTATCATCTGCATTCTTGAGATTATTTGTTTATCCTGCTGGAAGGTGAAGATCATGTATAACTGCGTGCTACTACCCATTTCTCCCCAGCTTTGTGTTTTTTTGGGGTCAGATGGCTCACTTTAAATCTACCCTGGTGGGAATGTCTATCCCACAAAAATTGACAAATGCTATAACTCACAGCTCTCCCACATCAAGTGTTAAATGGTTAAACACTGCCCAACATACTACTTGTGGTATCGCTAAATGCATTTACCTTGTTTATTTGTTGTCTGTGTTTCATAAGGACACACAAGCTCTCAATACAGACCCTGCCTGCCTTGTCGATACTGTATTCACAGCCTATAAAACAGTGCCTGGTACACTGTGGGCTCTCAGTGACTGTCTGTTGAATGAATGGATCCTCCAGAGCAGTTGAAAGAGAGGTACAAGAAAGGCCTATTTCACTATCATTAGGGAGAAGCCTGCTCTACTAAGTAAGATGGGGGAGAAATAGTTCCCCTGAGCCTTACTTGGGTTCTTCTTTGTGTTATGTTCCTGAGTGAGTAGCCATGTAAATTTACTTACTTAATGATACTAAAAACTTCTCAACCATGGTATAGGGAAGGCCAATTAATGAGTAGTAACACTCAACCCTAGCTGCACCTAGGAATCACTTGGAGTATTTTATTTTATTATTTTTTTTTTTTTTTTGAG